ATGAGTTATATTGTTGTCAAAGGGTTATAATGTAGATTTTTTGCACGTACACTACCGTTCAAAAGTTTGGGGTCACATTGAAATGTCCTCATTTTTGAAGGAAAAGCTGTAGATAACTTTAAACTAGTCTTAACTGTAAAGAAATACACTCTATACATCGCTTATGTGGTAAATGACTATTCTAGCTGCAAATGTCTGGTTTTTGGTGCAATGTTGTAATTGCTGCAAATGGAGGATTCTTTGACAAAAGCAAAGTTGGAAGTAAAACAAATCTTATTTCAAATACAAATCATTATTTCTAACCTTGTCAATGTCTTGACTCTATTTTCTATTCATTTCACAACGTATGGTGGTGAATAAGTGTGACTTTTCATGGAAAACACTTGGGTGACCCCAAACTTTTGAACGGTAGTGTACATGTGTAGTGAAAGTTTTTAGTGTGAAATAACATAATATTACACAATATTATATGTTTTAAATGTTCTTAAAAAAGTGAGTGCGTCTGGCAAACTTTGACAGATTACTTATACTTATTTGACGGATCAATACTACCGTAAGATTTGTTGTGTGCAGGGTTGGTCTGTTTAATAAGGAATCGTTCTGTTATTGGAATCTGAAGCAGAATCTGTGTTCTATATTGATGTGATAAGGAAGGATGTTTGTTTCATGTTTTGAGAAGTCTTTGAAATTTGTGAGACTAAAGACATAATAGTCCATATTCCTAATGAATACAAACGATTGCAGTCAGTGCAGAAGAGAACGTGTGTCTATTGTGCTCCGCCAGACGCATCAGCACCTCTGTCTCTCAATTCAATTCAATTTATTTTTGTATACCCATAAATCACACCAGTCATTTTTACAAAATTGTTCATTTGCCAACAACAATCAGAGAATCAAACAGTGTGAACACACAAAATGCAATTATAACCAACACATTCAGTAGAGGACTATAGTCTAGTAGAATATAGAACCACTGTGCCCACTGTCCCCTACACTCATGCTGCTAACACGTACAGATGTATACACACAACTATATATTTCTTGCACTAGAGTATGCAATATTATGTACTTGCTTCTTCATTATTTCCATTTGCTTGTGTTCTTACTTTGTTACTTTGTTACTTCACTGTACTGCTGTCACCTTACATTGTGTGCACCATGTGCACTTGTATATTGTAAATAGTAACTTTAACTCTATTTTAAATTTAAATGTATTCTTTAGAAGTGTTTTTTATTCTTATTTTTATTATCTCTTTTTGGCTGTTGCACTGAGCCAAAGCAATTTCCAAGTCTGTGACCTCCTGTTACTTACGTGGCAATAAAAATGATTCTGATTCTGATTCTGATTATTATGCGAAAGTATGAGATTTTTTACCTAATTCTTGCTTCTTCATTATACTAAAGTTGGGGATTTTAGACTTGTTTCCTTTTTATGCTAAAGTCAGAGATTTTATTTTATTTTTGTATAGAGTTATTTGTCAAGAGGTGAAAACAGAAGGACCCAAAGTGCTGAACTGCCAAAACAAAATAAGATTCAATACACAAAAACTCATAAATAATAAAATCTGCGGTTACAGAACTACATACTCAAACCAAGAGGAAACAAGGATAAAAACACAATGGACCAACAACAAAGGGAGAGGAGCACAGGGTTTAAATACACACAGGGACACACAAGTGAAACACATTAGGGCGGAACAGGCAATTAACTGAACAGACATGAAGTAACACTCAAAATAATCAAAATCACAATAAACTCAGGAAAAGGCATCAAAAAGTCCAGACCATGACATTCATTTATCTTGTGCTGTGTGCAACTCTGAAATTTCCCCACTGTGAGACATATATGTCCATAAATGTCCATACATCTCTGTCTGGTAATGTCCTTTAGTCCACTCTCTTTCATAGACTGTCCACAAACTTTATAAACAAAACAAATGTTGCTTATTCCTCTAAGATTAGTGAAATTTTTTGTCATAAATCATTAGGACTTAAGTTTATTTCACACATAATACCGAGGCCTAAATCACAACAGTAGTTATCTGACGGGACTTAACAAAACTGTTGAAATTGCTAACACACATCAGAGAATCAAATATTTAAAACACAAAAAATATAGAACAAATAGATATTGGTCCATGAATGTTGATAAATGTCATTAAATGTTGTAGAATGTTAGAAAGTCCTGGAAAATCACCATAGTTTTGTTAGACCCACTAACAGTATAACTGACCCTCCTGCATCGGCAAGTAAAAACTCAAAAATAAAACTCTATAAACTTTTAAAAACTCTTATAGAAGATAAAGAGATAGCATTCTGTAGTTGTGCGTGTCTTTTCTGCTGCCACCCAGGTGACGCCCCGTTTGAGGACAAGTGTCTGCACCTGATACGTGATACTGGACTAATCTGGAGGTCTTAGAGCAGCGTCTTAAAAGTAGATTCCTCTTTTGTCTTAGTCCATAGATTTGTGCATCTTGAGTGTTAAAGTAGAGCTGTTGTCAATTTGGCCACACAGGACTTTAGGTGTGCGTCTTCAGTGGTAACTCTAGTGTGAGGTAAGGCAAGGCAAGTTTTTTTGTATAGCATAAATCATACACAAGGCAACTCAAAGTGCTGAACAAAACAAGATAAAGGCAGTCACACAAGGCATCAAAATCCTAAATAATCACTGTACATTAAAAAGAGTGAAGATAAAATCCCTCAGTTGTATGCACAAGTTTTGAACCTGTTTTGAACCTGTGTAAAGATAACTACCCTCTGAATCTATGTGTTTGTTATCATACTTCTGTTATTTGAAGATATATGAAAGTTTATCTACTTAACTGTACTGGACTCTACTTAACCTGGACACCTGAATTAAAAGTATGGACATTTATCAACACTCATGGACATTGGTCAACTCCCCCCTATGGACCAAAACATATGTGTTCTATATTCTTTGGGTTAGGGTTGTTTGATTCTCTGATGTGTGTTGGTGATTTCAATGGTTATTTGTTAAGTCCTCTGAGATAACTACTGTTGTGACATAGGGCAGAATCAATGTAATTGAATTGAATGAAATTGTGCCTCAGCCAGCTAGTACACCACAAAGTCTAGATATTTTCATCTTTCGCTCTGTCTCCTCTTCCATAAAGTTCACTAAGTTCTTTTCAGATGCTGAAGTTGTTTTAACTTAATGAGAAGTTTGTTTAGCTGTGCCAATTATCACCAAAAGGCCAGCCTAGGTGTGCACTGGGCTGGAGACATTAGGAGCCCATTAAATGGAAGTCTTTAAAGTGTTGATTGTCCTTTTGTTGTGGCTCTGACCTGTGGCCCGTTGCCCTGAGGCCTGAGTGGGGTGTGACTGGTCGCTCTGGTGCTTAACTCTGCAGACAGCTTTAAACTATTGTGGCCACAGGGCACTGCCCCGTCCTCCGCATCAGTCCCTCCCTCATCATGTGTGTGCTGTCCGCCCAGGTCACTTCACTTCTGCTCTACTGCAACACTGCCTGCAGAGAGAGAGAGAAAGAGGCACAGATTGTCTGCAATGTTTATTGTTTTAAGACATTAAATTTCATATTTTTATTTATTTTTTTTTTTTTCATTTTTGATAACTTAATTTGACAATATAGGTAGCTGTATTACAGCTTACATGTTACTACATAAGTTCAGGGTAGGGTCAGAAATACTATTGCTACATGCCCAATATTTCAGACAAGTCTTTATGACCAAGATACACCTATATTTAGCTTGCCTGTTTTCAAATATGTGAGTCTCAGGATCTCAAATGTGCCTCATTTGATTGGACAGCTTAAGTTCAGATAAAACGACAAGACTCTGTGTGCTCTGTTCTGCAATCTGTGATTGACAGTTCTTCCCAGAAAAAAACTATCTGCCCGGTCCCAGACTTCTCACATTATAACATATCTCAAAATGTAGCCGGGCCTGGCGGCCTAATGAGTTCGTAACAGAAGCTACAAATTAAAGCTTTGATAAAGGCGGAAACATTTAGCTCCAACAATTATATAATTTTTTTGTCAGAGTTATGCAATAATGAAGCTTTCCCAGAAGACAGAGCCCTCCTGAAAATGCATTCAGAAAAGCTCTTCACAGATTATTGTGCCACAATAAACCTTTTCTGGCTGTTTTCTCGCGAGGACTCGAGGCTCCTGCTGCAGTGTCACACACCGGGTCAGACTCAGGTGATTAGTTTTAGAAGGACAAGGATCTCAGACAGAATCATGTTTCCAAAACAGATCTCCATCAGCCTCTCTGATAGATACAAGCAGCCTACAGGAGCCACATTGTTATTTCAGGGCTCTCAGCTTTGGGAGAGAGGCTGAGGGCCTGCAGGGCTCATCATTCACATGCTAAATGACCATTACACCATTTACATATGTCTAATACAACAGATTCACTGTCAGAGACAGAAAGAGCTGCACACTTTACTAAACTATGTTTGTAGAACATAATATCTACAATGATTTCATCCTGTTTGATCTCCATGCTCCATGATCTCTGTACCGACCCCCCAGGATGATTATAGATCTACACTGTTCATAATTCTGCCTGTATCAAAACACTGTACATTGTATATTTTAAATGACTCTAATTTGATCACACTTAAAATAGGGTGATTGTATAAGTGGTTCAGCAGGTTCTTCTAAAGGTGATCACGCAGCAACATTTTCTTTGCTTCATTTACCACAAACAAGTAAAAATAGCAGAGTTTGAATAAGCGTCACAAAGTAAAACAATAATTAGCTGCTTCACTTCTTCCTCAGAGGATCTTCAAAGCAGCAGAGCAGTGGGGTGTGTACTCAGGTATTGGAAAGGTAGCAGGAGATCCCTCCCCTCTGCTCCCAGTATATAGAGTCTGCCATAGACTCCTATAGAAGCTTCTGCTAGGCCACTCTGCATCCACAGCCACATCACTCCTGTTTGAGTGAGAATCAGAGATTTGGAGAATCCTGGAGTCAGTGGAGCAAACAGCAGTTGCTCTGCTCAACCTCAGCGCCAACATGTTGTATCTGGATACAGGCAGCACCACGTCCTTCCCTGAGGTAAGCCAAATAAAATGAGGGAAATAAGAGTGATATTATCATTTACAACCATTTGATATCAACAATTACACTTACACATGTTAAACCGAGCCTTCAAGATCCTTCAAAACTGTTTGCACTCATTAGTATGAAACCATATATTGTTGTGTATTGAGTAAAAAATTGAAATACATATAATCTGTGTCATTCCATTAAAAATATTGATTTTGTATTTATAACATGTATTTGTGCGATAGATTTATTGCGATATTTGTGCGATAGAGTTGTTGTTCATGTTGTGGCTGTGGCGGGATGTTTGCGAGTGATTGCATAGTTACCTGTTGTGAAAGCAGCGGAATGCAAACATCTGGATGAATATTTTGGTCTAAAATGGCGGCTTCTGGTCTTTGGATTTCTGAGTTCTTCATTCAACACATAAACCTGTCATTGGTTTGAGGAGTGGGCCTTTGGGAGTAATATGCATCTGATTGTGAAGCTTAGCTGTGTTATTTGACCAGTCAAATAACACAATAATCTAATTTCAAATAATGTTGTTTTGGTTTGTCGCATTCACTAAATAATCCAAAGATTTTTTTGTTTCATCTTTTAGCTTTTATATTACCTTTTATTCATCCTTAAAATATGTTGCAATATGTGAGAGTAAATGTTAGTTCCCATTATTTTAATTTGATTTTTGTTTTTGCAAATCAAACAATCACTGCATAAATATATAATCAATCACACTTAATTTCCCAGTCAAACAAATCTAAGTAAAAAAAATGCTTAGAGTTGTTTTTACTTTGGGTTCGCACATTTTCCATAAGAACAAGCATTTACAGTTTTTTTACCTTAAACATTCTAAATGCAAGCAATGTCTCTTTACTTTGAAATTATGTTTGTTTCATTGGTATAACCTCTTTACTCAAACCAAGATAAAAATGCACCAATTCGAGCCGTTTCAACCTCTTTTCTTGTCCTCGTTCCCTTTCTTCCCCACCACCATGCACATTTTTGTTTACCCTTGAAGCCCCCAGACCCTCGCCCTTTTCCAGCGCTGACGGATTCTCAGATTGCAGATTGCAGGTTGCCGATAGCAGGTGTGCTGGGTCCCTGTCTTTTAACTTCTGCCTTTTTAGAAGCGTCCGGCCATCTCTTGTCTCCCCCTTCCCCGTGTCAATGCTTTAAGGTATCAAGTTGCCCCTTCTGACCCCCTCCCCGTCACACCAGTCTCCACTTAAACCCATATAGTCTTCTGGGAGCCGCGGACTGGCCGAGGCGTTTGCTGTTTAGCCCCTGATTGCTTTTAACGGTGTGTTGACGCAGATACAATCAACTCGCTCTGCCCTCCCCAGCAGGTATGAAGCAGCGGAGCGGTAGCCCCCACCCTCTCTTGATCCTCTAATACCTCCACCCATCTTCCGTCTACCCTGTGGTCAATCGTCACAGGCCTCAATGCTCAGGTTAAGGCCCTAAAACACATACAGACTAAGAACGGCCAAAATATGACTTATTTTCTACCGTATTGCAAGATGCAGGTGGGCAAAGACTGGGGGTTCATTCACTGGGTCATTCTGATAATAAATTTTCACATATCTGCTTGAATCGGAATCAACGTCAGAATAGGTTGACTGTTTTAAAACAAGATTTCCCAGTAGTAGAAGCTGTTTTAGAAGTCAGGTTTTTTTTCATAGGTGAAGCAGTCAGAGTGGAGATCTGAAAGTCCATAAGTGATAGAGTAACAGAAATAGATAAAGATGATAGAAGATTGTAGGGCAAACATTTATGTATAGAAATTGTCCTGCTACTAAATGGTTAACTTAAACCAGCTAAGGCCATTTCTGCATGCACCACTGGGAAATCTTGTTTTAGACCATATATATGGACTTAAATGAACATTTAAAGTTTACTGCAGTGCATCGGTTTGACACAGCTCCATATAAGGCATGGGACAATATTCTTTGGGAGGCATCTCAGAACAATGAGTTGTTGTAGGTAAAACTGACTTACTCATATGTGCTGTAAAAAAGTATTGTGTATGATTATTTGGACTAAATTAGGAGTATACGGCCACAGAACTAGGTCTGGGGGCCGCGTTTGTCTCTCAGGCCATGGTTTGGACAGTCCTTGCCTTCAGGCCAGGTCTGCTCTGGTTCCTGTCATCCGCTGGTCGTTCACAGCTAAAGGCAGATTTGGAGTTTGTGACCGTCAATTACCAAAAGAATGGACTTTTGATTTCACTGCTAGAACTTTTATAATGTATCTAGAATTTGTTTAGTTCAGTTTTTTAGCTTCAGCCATCTTCAACCAGCTCTTAGAATGTTACAATATTTTTACCTCTGCCAGGGTGTAATGTAATCACCAGGGTTTCTCTGTTTGACTGTTTTTTTAGCAAGAGAACTCAAATTCTGAGATACATGTCAAAAAGTATTGTCCTATGCCTTGGAAAATAATGTTTTGCAAGTCATTATTTATTATTATTTTAGTACATGCAGATGGTTTTAAAACAAACAAAGATTTCCCAATGGTGAAAGTGCCTTGGTTTACTTAAATCAACCCTTTAGGTCCCAAGTTAGCAGGCCACTTTCTATACACAAATATCTCCCTACATTTTTCTTACATCTATATTTACCTCGTTTAAAAACTTTCAAATCTCCACTTTTTGATTTTTTCATCTAAGACTTTGTGTATGTATGTTTTTAAATATGACAAAAACAGCTTCTTGTATTGGGAAATCTTGTTTTAAAACAGTCAAAATATTCTGACCGATATCTGTAATGATTGGAACGATTTATAATTTTTTGTTGTGCATTTTATCATTTGTGCATTTTTTAAAGGAATGACACTGCGCCTCTTGACAGAGGTCTGTGCTCTACGAATGCCTTAGCCATCAGAGGAGCTTAAAGTGTTGGAGTGTGAAGTGGTTAATTCAGTTCCTGAATCAAGCTAACGTTGAGTATATATTCCCAAGTTTTGACATAGGACGAGTAGTAGCACATATTTATTGCAAGAAAACAAGATTGTTAGTTTTGCAAATGGTATTTTGAGACATAAAACATACAATGCAATAATCGATCAATATAAGTTCTTAAATCACATGTAAAAACTGCCTCGACCTTTCAAAGTGCTGTACAGACAAGTGGAAAAACAGTAACTATAAAAAATACATACAAAAATAACACAATTAAAATATAATTAAATAAAGTCTACTTTTTAAGCACATAGTAATCTATTTCCAAATCATATTTTAATTTGACAAGTATTATTGCTGCCATGATTCATATGCAAACCAGTTTAACCGCGTAATTATTGTTAAATCTGTTAAGTGGGGATATAGGCCAAAGCAAAGTGTTTATGCTGAACAATATCAACGAAGTGTAGACCTTTTAATGGCTCTTGTACCGTATGGAAGAAGTAAACACAGAGGGTTAGAGGGTTCGGACTAAGAAGGCAAAGCTGGTATGCAACAAGCTAAATAGCAGTTTGCACAATGTTACCAAATATCTCATTATCATCTCATCCCTCCTCCTTGTGACACCAAAACTGCACTGTTTCTGGGCTCTTTCAAAACGCCAACCAAAGCCTTAAGTCTTATGTCTCACTTATTTCTCACACAGGGAACTTTTTAAAGAAACGTTATTAAAGACCGTGTCGTTGCCAACAGACTCTGATTTACCACTCGACCCCCGAAGGCCCCAGCATCGGCCACAAACAGCAGGAATTTTTATGATCCGCTAAAGTGGTGATTATAGCGGCTGTATTATAGTGGAATAAGATCTGATCAAAGACGCCCAGACCCCCGTCACTTGTGCTGACATCCTACTTCCACTCCATTTAACATTAAAACAGCACGATTTCTCTTACTCTGCTCTGTCTGGACGGTGGATCTGGGTGCTCATGTATTCAATGTCAAGCTGTTTTTCTCTTGTTTTCTTGACTTTCTTTTAGCCACAATATTTCATAATCATCGCCCGCCACATCTGCCAGCATCCGTCTCCGTCACGTCTGAATCACAAAGTTTTATTGCAGTGACTAAAAACCTGGTGTTGGCTCATAATATTCCCATATTTGGATGAATACAAAATCGAGTAGAAGAGATTTTTTTAGTTTTTCTTGCCGACTTTACTTTTGAAATTCACACAATTCATACAGAACTCTTAGGGGACCTCTTTTTCTACCTTGAAAAATAGGTTCTTTAAATGTAGGACTGCTTTGTTTGTTCACTTAAACAGCAGTATACTGTATTTTTAAGTAACTTTTCTTGTAGTTTATTCTTTGACATAAAAAGCCTTTGTTAAAGTATGCTTGCTACTAACATCTCAAAAACTTAATTTGAAAATAATTTAGCATGTATGTGACTTGTCTTTTTGCTCTGTTTTGTGTTTTTTTTTTCTCTTTTCATTTCCTTGTTTTACTTACTTTTCTGACATTTTCTCCCTTTGAATGAAAAGTAAAACCTTTCAAAAAGTAAGTATAATCTTGTATGCCGATGGTGATCTAAACAGCTGAAGATGGTTAGATCAGAGAAACCCCTTTTGGATTATCAGAAAATGACACCATTACATCCAATAATGCATACATGATTGACACATGACAATTCATCAACATGTTGTGATTTAGGGCTATATAAGAACAAATTGAATAGAATGATTCAGGCGTTATCAGCATTGTGGATTCTCTTTTCTTCCTGTTGACAATATTCAATACGTCAGTTCTCAGGTCAATCAATGTCAGGTCCCCATAGAAGCAGCTGTTGGTGCCTTGTGCTGTAAGGGAAGGGGCCAAGTCCAGCATTCATAACATTTAACTGTGCAGGTCAATGCCAGAAAGAAGCTGTTTATTTATGTTTTAAATATACTTATTCTTATGCAAACTTATGCCATATTCTTTTATTGGAGTTCATTGTCTGTAATCCATAGAAATATATGAATCTGAATGAGAATGGAATCTCGCAATAATTATCATATTAGTCCTTTAGTGTTTGTATACATACTAAAATCAACTCCTCATTCTCTCATCAATCTTCCCTCTGTAGCCGTTGACCGGACGCTGCAGGCCACGCCGAGTTTTAACCTCCACAATATCCGTGTTATTAGCTCATTGTATGTAGCAGTGTTGCCTTTCTGTGTTCAGAGCGCTTCAGGCTCTCGAGCAGAATGGACTCCTTCCTTTTGTGCGCGCGCCCCATTCACAAAACACCGTCCAACTTAACAGCCCTTTTAGTCAGGCTCTCATAAGCCGCGGTGTCAGTGTTACCTGGGGTTAAGCAGCTCTACGCCGCAAACATATTGAACCTAACGGCTTCTGCCTGTGGCTCTGTTACACACGCAGGCTGGAGCTGACCCCGCTGACATCTGCAGAGAGAAAAACCTGTGTTGGAAATGTCAAAGCTACGATAGCAACCCCCGCTTCACGTTTCACAAGCCGGGTTATTAGCGCTGACAGAGCTAGCTTGCTTTTTTTTTTCCTCCCCCTTTTAACCCCCTCCTTCTTGTCATTTTGATGGTCATCTTAACACCTGGCCAGTGTGGGGAGGGAGGGAGGAGGGAGGGGAGGGGGAGATAGAGGGTGCGGTAGACAGCTGTGGAGGGACTTGCCAGGGATAAACACTGGGGAGATTAATGAGGGTCTACCGTGGCACCTCATCCAGGAATGTGCCGGGTATAAATGGAACGGAATGGGCTGGATGGCAGAGCGGGACCGAGCGGAAGGGACTGGCTGTGACCCCAAAGAGCAGGCCATTCTGTGTCTGTGTCAGCCCCCAGACTAAACAGTGCAAAGCGAGAGAGAGGGGGGGGTGAGAAGGGTCTTTTTACATTGAGGGAGTTCACCTACTGGGTCCGACTGGAATGACAGCAAAAAAATGTACTAGATTGAGGTGGAAGTTTGAATATTTTTGACTATATAGAGTTATGTTGATGATGAATGTTTTTATTTTGGACGTTTCAAAATGAGAAAACAAATCAAAAGCAATGTAATTCTACATTGAATAAACGAAATAAACAAACAAATGATGTCCAAAATAGGAGTGGGAGGAAGTTTAAAAAAAAATGTTTGAAAGTTTACACGTCACCCAGCCGTAGATACAATTGTTTTGGTCCTATTTTGGACACACGCAGACACACACACATACACACATACACTCATTGTTAGTGGTGGTGTGATGCCATTTATTGTTAAATAAATTTTTTTCTAATTTCTAATTATTCAGATTCTTTTTTTTTCTTTCTTCAATCAAAAAGTGAACATAAATTAAAAAAGAAAAATCTGATTTGTATTATTAAAATTCTGTGGAGAGCTAAATATGCAGTTCGTGCAAGGCGGCCCAGGAATTTATAGTGAAGGATTTTTGCCAGGAAGAATGTGCCCTTTTAAAATAAAGAACCCCATCCACAACTACCACGCTGTCATAGAAGTTAAAGGGAAGTACCCTGTTGAGATCTGGGGGATGGAAACGTCATTTCAACTTCAATTCAAAAATACCTTTGGCTGTGAGGACCAGAACAATATCTGCAAGTGATCTGTGCATAAATTAAGATTTAGATTAAGAGATCCTTTATTCGTCCCACAGCGGTGAAATTTCAGTGTTGCTTCACAAGCTATAGAACAGTAGGAAAGAGGAGCACACATCACAAGATAAGTGAACAAATGAATAAATGCCATTGAAGTCATCATTGAAGTTGGTGATTATGTTTTGTAGCACCAGAATCAACACTTTTGGTCATACAATATGTCGAATATATATATATATATATATATATATATATATATATATATATATATATATATATATATATATATATATATATATATATATATAATGTTTAATGAGAGCCATTGATATACGGTTATTAGGAAAATATAAGGAGATTTCATAGTTTCAAACACAAGCAGTACCTCTGACCTCGATCAAAATGGACTTGTGATTGTATAGAAAGTCAAGTTAATTCAATTCAATGCATTTGTGTATAGCCCTAAATCACAACAGCAGTTGTCTCTCAGTGATCAGATCAGAGAATCAAACAGATCAAACACAGAAAGGCAATGACAACAAACACATAGGAGCCATTGGTTCATAGGGAGCAGGAGGACCAATGTTCATAAATGTCCTTAAATGTCCCGGATCATCACTGTCCTTAGACCCTCCTGCATCCAACCCCGTAGATAAAGGGGAAAAAAGTGTGGTTTATGTTATAGAGCGACAGTGATGTCATGTCATCAACAATTTAGTGGAAAAAATAACGGTTTCTTAAAAGGCTGTAAAAAAAATATATATATTTTTTTATTTTTTTTCTAGTTCATGCTATGAACCATTGATTGTGTTTTCTTGTACTGATTTTAAAAGCATTGAAAGAACCTGAGCTCTTCTTCATGTCCAGCTATATTTCCAGAAGTTATCTTCCCGTCATTGTGGGTAATACCTGGGTCCCGTCACATTGTTTGCCGCCCGTCAAACTAAAGTGCTGCTCAAATTCCTCCGCAGTGACTGAACTGTGCCTCTCTCCTTTGTGCTTTGTTCCAGTCGCAGTACACAAACCTGGGGCTCCTCAACAGCATGGACCAGAGCATCCAAAATGGCGGCTCCAACAACACCAGTCCATACAACACGGACCACGCCCAGAACAACGTGGCCGCACCCTCGCCGTACTCCCAGCCCAGCTCCACGTTCGACGCCCTCTCGCCCTCCCCCGCCATCCCCTCCAACACAGACTACGCCGGGCCTCACACCTTCGACGTGTCCTTCCAGCAGTCCAGCACCGCCAAGTCCGCCACGTGGACGGTGAGACCATGTTGTGATAGATAGATAGATAGATAGATACTGTAGATCAGGGGTCTCTAACCTTTCTCACCTGGAGAGCGACTTTGTCAGAATGTATAGTTTAAATCTGATATAACTAGTTGTAAACAATCATTCTAAGCTTGTTCCTCATGTCCTAATTATTCACTAGTATAATGGTCTCTTTCTAAGGCAAGGCAAATGTATTTATACAGCACCATGCAGAAGCAACTAAATCAATGCTTAACAGACACAAAAAGAACATTGGGAAACAATAACGCATTTTGAGGACTATGAAAAGATAAGATAGACTTGATCTCACACAGGAGAAATGTACATGTCACATTTGGCATGGATGACAAATGACAGAAGTGTGCAAAAAATATAGTCTTTTCAGGATATATTATGTACAATAAAAAAGTGGCAATTAAAGAAACAGTGGCAATAGTAGTGCAAGTTTTTAGTCCTAGTGCAAGCAACTTAAAGTGACTTATTGTACATTCTGACAGCAGTGGGGATAAAGGCCTTGCGGTAGCGCTCCTTCTGTGGGTGTCTCAGTCTTCCACTGAAGGAGCTCCTCAGCTCCTCTACAATCCTGTGCAGTGGGTGGTGTTGTACATGATGGAGGTGACAATAAAAACATATGGAATGCAATGCAGTCAGAGCACCAGCCCCTCACTGATCCTCCTGCAGGATCCATAAACATACATACATATATAAATATATCCATACATATAAATACATTACATAAACACACATGCACACCCCAACAAAACATAATGATTATAATTAATAAACATCATTAGTATATATAATTTCACTACAGATCTTGAGTATGTAAAACAAATGTGTGTTCATGGTCTTAAAATTACTGTATAAATTGCAGAAACATACATGTCTACAGCTGTTCCATAATTTGAAGTACTGATACAATGTGCCAAAACTGCAAACATGGATTACTTGTATTATACATAGTGAAGAGGTGGTAATTGTGACCCCTTTAGCTTCATGGAGGAGGACAGGAGCAGATCTATCTTACCATACAGAATTGATTAAAGGTCAAAGTCATCATGTGTCACACACAATCTCTGAATCATGGCTTTCTTACAAAATATCAGCGCTTTAGGCGAACTCAGGTGCTCTCTTCTTCAGAGTCCTGCGTTGCACAACTGCATTTGGCAGTAAAAACAAGATGTAAATCTGAGTCAGGACTAACCCTGCAGGCATTTTTTTAAGCCTGACTTTACTGTTCAACTAAAGCCAAGTTACAATATGCAAACTTAAGAGACACGCAAGATGTCTTCAAGAGCCAGAAGTAAAACAATGAAGGGAGAAGGCCTCAACGGACTGATACATGTTTACTGTGAGATTGTAACGAGCCTTTTGTAGTGAATTGAACAGATATAGAGTAGTGGCAGTTTGATTTGTAGATTTGAGCATGGACTGAAGGAAGTGGAAAGTGATCATACAAAAACATATCTTTGTGATTCCCTCTCTTAACATTATAAGTCCATCGCTTTACTCGGTGCATAGCAAAACAATGTTAAAACAAATTAATTTTGTTTTACAAATTTTGTATTCCTTTTGGCTGTCTTAAGACAAGATTTACCATCTGAACCATCATAAGATTGTTGTTTTACATGGTGTACCTAATTTTCAGTTGAGTTTTGTATTTTGATCTCGCAAAACGGGCACTAGTTTTTACGTATGGCATTATTCAGCCTCAGTCGCCATTATAGATTTGCTTTTTAAGGCAGAAAAGTTGAAATAACCATCCCCGCTCAGCCCGTAGCCTCATATATTGACTCTGATAATTAACTATTTCTTACAAGTATATCTAAGTTGTTTGTTTTCTAAGAAGAAGGCAACACGTCATGACCTGATGCAAGCAAAATTATCTTTATCTATCCTTGGAATGAGTAAACAAATGCAACAGTTCTTGAAAAAAGACTAAATGTTTTTGTCCCGTTGGTGAATCTTGTTTTAAGCTCAAATCAAGCAATTATTACCTCATATTTTAGCATTTTTTGTTTTTATCCAGGACCTATTTATTATATTTGATGCGTAATTGGACTTTCATTTTCCTTTTAATTTTTTATTATTTCATGCAGATCTTTGTAGCACTGCAAATTTCCCCCAGGGCAAATAATAAGCGGGCATTTTTTAGCACTAAAATTCTCAATATACACGTTTTTCTTACTGAAAAACATATAGGCTCTGTGAAAACATGTGACCTAAGAAATAAACTACTACTACTTCCACTAATAAAGTTATTTTATCTTATCTAAATATGAACGTATTGATCCCTGGACACACACAGTACAGTTCGCAGCTTCCAAGTTTATTGTGCAGTGTCTGTGTGTGCCGCGCTGATGACAGAGACACACACGTCGGTCCAGGTGGTGACGCTGCACAAAGAACCAGCTCCTCCTGCTCTGTCATTACCCAAAGTGCCGCGCACGGACAGCTGTTGCATCACCGATTCACCAGCTCACAATCGCGACGCAATAAGTGACACACAATCACAGGAACCAGGCTCAGTGTCGCGCTCTGGCGGACACGGTCATACTCTCAGAGGTGACAGGAAGCAGAATTAATCATGTTATTACAATTAAAGGTTGGGTCTATCTCTTTAAATCTGTGTCCCCGACCTTTTAATTGGCTGTGGAACAACTTTTTTATTGAAAAGAAATTGCACAACACACCACCAGCTAAAGCTAATGCAAAAATTCAACTCTGCAGGCTTAGGTTTGCGAGGTTTTCCCATGTCTGCGTAGGTTTCCTCCGGGTGCTCCGGTTTCCCCTACCATTAAAAACATGTACAATATAGAATGTTGGTTTGGGGCTTTGATGCACCGGTGTGTTGGGCAACTTGCTTCTGGCATCCCTGTGTGGAGAGAATTTAACAATATCTGAACTCTGAATATTGTAAAGTGCTTTGGGGGACCTTGGTCTGTAAAATGTGCTATATTTATAAACATTTCTATAAACATGACTTGCTTTAATAAAAGAGTAAAGTCATTCTCATCAACTTGTACTATTTAGAAAATCAAACAAGCACAAATTTTCTAAAATCCCATTAAAGTGAAATGTTGTGAACAAATCAGATGGCGGCATGTAATCTTCATCTGATTGGAAAAAAATATGTTTACAATAAATAATATCTTTTGTATACTTGGCCCTGAGAGTCGCTATTTGACACTTTGGGCTGAGAGCTGATTGGCTGAGCAAGGGTGGTTTGCGATTTTTTACTTCTTTGTCAAAGAAAGCTGATCTAAAAAAAGGCCAAACAAATACATGTCAGTGAACAATAGTAGAACTTGAAAGTGAAGAGTGATTTAGATGGATTTCATTACATAGATGCCCATCTTTAATACGGGCGGATGTTGAGCAGCAGTAATGGCAAAGTAGCTGTGTTGTGATTTTATAGCCCAAATTCACAACAGCAGTCGATTCGCCAACAACAGATCAGAGAACCAAACCGGTGGGAAGCAGGAGGACCACTGTCTTAAAAAATTAATAAATGTGCTTAAACGTCCCGGATCATCACTGTCCTTAGACTCTCCTGCATCTGCAAGGAACAGTTGTGAACAGTCCTGAGGCGTATGTATAGATTTCACAATAATTCAGCTTCAACTAGGCTTTGCATGGCTTAAGTACATTTGATTTAGTTTAAACAATGCATTATTACAATCTGATTTCACAAAAGGATTACAGGCCTTGTCAAACCAGTGATACACACATAAAATGACCTGTTTGCCCCGCCCTCTCAGACCTAATCTGAGGGAGTGGGACACTGTGGGACCGTGACATTTGGTGACTTCCCACACGTCGTCACTCTTCGCGTATTTTCACACCAGCTCCAAAAGCAAAAAAAGTGTTTGACTCACTTTGTAACAGTTTATTGAAGGACACGCCCCACAAACTTGAGCTCCCGTCCCGCCATGACTGCACTAGAAGCCGTCAAAACACATGAGTCAAGACCGGACCGATGGGTCTACTCCAGCTGAGATTACTGAGGCTGCATCCAAATTCCTTATCCTTCCTTATCCTTCCTTAAACTCCCTTGTCCTTTGAAATTAACCTTTCATGAGACAGGGTTGCTCCAGGTTTGGGTACGTGAAATTGACTACCTTTCTCAGATTTGTATTTTTGTGTCAGGAAAAGAAAGGAGGTCTTTTATGGATGCAGCCACTGTCCCAAAACGGCCCTTTTGTTTGAGTTTTAGTCGAGTTGCAACCATTTGGTAACTATATTTCTAAACAAAACAAAAATATCCAATGTGCATTCACACATAGAATATTATAGTCCATATTAATGAGTGCCTTTTTGTTCAATGATTTTTATTTCAGTTTCAAGCAACCCAACTATTTCTTGGGAACACCCAGAGTAACAGTGCTATACCCATTGACCCTAAACATGTCACTCTTTATTTGAATAATGTGTGGGCATCATAATATGAACTGCTATTTCTAAGTATGCCTTGTTGCAAGGTTAGTACAGTATAAACACTAATCTTTCTGAATTGATGTATTGTCCAAGGGAAACAACACAATCATCTTTTTCAGTCATTTACTTAAATCCTCTAAATCCCCCAAGTCTTTGAGCGGTTTCTCCCAGTCTTCCCTACACTGTGCACTGCCTCAGTTATTTCCTCGGGCTGGACACTGTTTATGATGCTTCTCTTTGACGTTGTGCTGCTGGAGTCATTGCCGAAGTCACACAGCTCAAAAACCTGTTTGTTTGAAGACTGAAGGATCTTCCAGACTTTGTGTTCTGTCTTTTTGATGCGTGTTCCCGTGGAGACACACCTAATCCCAAAGCCACAGCTCACCTCTTCCTGTCTGAGACGTCCTGTGACACACTGCAGGCGAAATCACGTCAACACTTCCCAGAATCGTTCCCACACACTGGCCTCGTGGGCACACCTCTTGTCATGTCACTCGGGTCAAACCAATACACGCTTTCAGATGCCAGCTTAACGAAATTAATGGAGTGTCGCAAATCAGGAGCTTTTGTTGCCCACTGGAGTGACTATTGTGCGTGTGAGGATTGGTGTGGTGGTGTTTGCCCAGTCTATTAGCTGCCAGTGGCTGCAGTAGTGAAAGAAGAGGAATTCTCTGGCGGGGCTATCGCTGGGCCCTGCAGAGCTGAGGGGATTACTGTAATGGATTGAGCGCCTGTAGATAATGCCTGTGTAAATATGCACTGCCTCTTTCCTGAACCCTCGCTCCTCACCGGGCTCTTGTCTTTTACAAAGTTAAGCCTGATACTTCTCACAGTGTGCTGGAGGAGGAGGAGGAGAGACCAGCTCAAAGACAAGAGTGTTCCAGCAAAAAAAGGCTACAAGATGCAGCTTGCCCCTGGAACATCTGCGGGCCCGTCCCACGCCTCGGAGATGGAGCTCAGACTTGTTTGTGTCAGAAAGCCTGTAGCGACTCGCCCCACATCACAGCAGACACGTCCTGAGCCTCACATGAGAAAGGAGCAGGGGAATTTTTAAAAGGAAGAGTAGGAAGACTTTATTACAGTGCCTGGGATTTGATTTCCTCATAGTCACGGAGAAGGCTGCCATCTTTTTGTTTATACTTTTCATATAATGTTTTCCCAAACAATGAACCCGTTTGTGGGGTTTCTCAGTACACTGAAATTCAACACAATGGTGATAATTAGACAGGCACATCCTGGTTTAACGCTGAAATCCATGGAGCAGATAAGTCCCAAACAGGTCTGTGTTGTTGTCCCAGAGTGGCTTTTAGCTCTCTTTTTTTTTTCCTCTCGATGTAAGAACAAACATTTATTATCCCCCTTTTTCCTTGTCATGCAGCTGTTTTATATCTGGGTGTTACAGGGAGAAAATTATGGTTGAATTAAACAGGTTTGGGAGAAGCTTTAGGCATGACACGACACGCCAGGTATGAAGAAGACAAGACCAGAGGCGCCAAACTGTGCTTGTTTAAGGCCCGATGTTTGTCAGGACTTGAGCTGTGCATGTGCCCGCAGCGTCTGTCAAGGAGAGAGCAAGGGATCCAGCTGTAGACCTGTTCCAACCTGCACACGCGATGCATCTGATAGCATAGCTTGTTCACCACTGTACCTGCATATATAGTACATGTGATAGATGTATACGTGATAGATGCGTACGTATATGTGAGGACCGGTCGCATGCGCCCGGCTTTGTCACTCGTGTTGATTTAGCGCGCACGAATGAAAGACACAGTTATAACCGGTTTGTTTTGTCTGCGGCCGTTAAAGAGTAAGGTTTGGGTCCAGCCCTGTTTTAAAGTTTTGTTCGTAGGGCTTGTTTGTGAGCGCTGTATAATTCAAATCGTGTCCAATGAAAGGCTCATAATTACACCTTAACACCTGAACCGCGCCCAGGGAGCCACCATCAGTCAACTGTCCCTCCCCCACCCCTTTGCGCACGTTCTGTTAGCCTTAGCGCCGCGTTCTCTCTATCTCTCCGTGCAAACAGATTAACCTCACGCTAAAGTTTGTAGCTGCAGGGCTGGGACGTCCCGTGGCATCTGTTTGTTTGTGTTCACTTGGATGTGAGCAGACCAAACCTCAGTGAACGAAAAAATTAAATAAAGAAACATAGAGAGAGAGAAAACAAACTACGCCAATCTTTTGAGTAAACTTTGACCCTTTAGACAGTGCACCTTTTTTGGTTCATAATCTTGTTTCTTTTCTTTGCCGTCTTCTTTCCTAACCCCTCTTTTCCTTGGCTTCTCCAGCTCATTTAGCTGATTGACAGAGGAGCACAGCGCGGATCAGGTTTGGAGCCCGGGACAATGAAAGTGCTCGCATTCATCTTTGTCTTGTTTTCTTTTGCCGCTTTGATTCGAAGCAGTTGACTTGTGTCGATGACATGCACTACATCTTCGACCCCTCGCAACCCCAGCCACATTCCTCCAATTCATATTTGTCCCAACACCCAACGCTATCTCTCTGCTAGATTTCTTGCGTTTTTATGTTTTGTCACCTCTCCTTTGCTTCTAATGAGGTCACTTTACCTGCTATTATTATTACTATTGTTTACTTCTATTGCAGTTTGGTATAGCCCACAATCACAACAGCAGTTATTTGTATCTATCTAACAAAACCTTTGAATTCTCCTACACAGATCAGAGAATCAAAAGGTTGATAGATGACCAAATATCCATAAATGTTGATAAATGTCCACAAATTTTATTGAATGTTAAAGGTTTATCTTATCTTATTTCATCTTGAGCAAAAACACAAGCAAATCTGCACATTTCTACAACTGTTATTTGGGCTAAAAAGAAGTACATAGATTTTGTGTGTGTGTGGGTTGGTCTTGATGAAAGCAAAGCTAACGCCTTGGGGATCTGAGACGCTGAATTCTGTGCCAGGCTTGTGCAATACCTCCCGCCAGAGACAAGCCATTTTCTCAATTTAATATACGTGGATGAAGTTTTATGTGCGCATTGTTGTCGGATGGCGCTGCAAGCGGTTTTCTGCATTTCTCTGTGAAGCAAAACTGACAGGAGAAATTTCCCCGCTGCCCCACGCCCAGCGACTCTGTGCACATAGAGAGCTTAAAGTCAACTTTGCTCTGCGCTGATTTCAATAGTTTGTTTACACAGTTGGGTGACGGCCATTAGCAGCGATTCAGACTTTTGCTTTTGGGGATCCAGGGGGAAAAACACACTTGTATTATTGATGACTCCTGGATTACCAAGCCCCTGTGTGTGTGTGTGTGTGTGTGTGCATAGCCAGCATTAGCAAAGCCGTAAAGAGAGATTAATCAGTGTAATGTGGCTGTTTGTCATGGAAAGTTGTAGATGGATTTGTGGTTCAACTTTCAGCGCAATAAAACCTCCCCTTGGCAAATGATATACAGATTTATTAGCCTCTGTGAAAGCCTAGCTAACTGATTTTCCTCCCGTGAAACTATAGGAAGTACTGTAGATATTCAAATCTAACTAAACCTTTATGAATGTAACTAAATGTGGATAATTTAGCCAGCATTTTTATCTATCATCTAGGTTACAGTAGTTCAGTTTAGTTAATTTCAAGCACACAATTAAAAAGTGTACATCATTCACAACAACAATAACACAATAAAGAATATTAATTGTTACTTAAAAAGGAGTGAGGTGAAGTTGGTCACCCATCCCCTTTTTCATTGTCTAAACATTATTAGTTACTTCCTTTGGTTTTTACACTTTCTTGCAAAAACAGTACTTTTTTCCTTTTTTTTCTCCTACATATTCACAATATGTTAGCATCATAAACAAAACAAAAAGACATGCAAAACTTGATAAAATATGAGGTAATAATCGCTTGAATCGTGTCCAATGTTTCATATGGATCAAGGCAATGTGTATCTTTATTAAGATTCATATTAGAAAACAATAACTGTGGATGAAACACAATTTCTCATTCCAAGAAAAAAAGAGTAGTACCCCATCTGAATGCATGAAATCGTAAAAAATGTTCTTTGTAGATTGACAGATAACCAGAATAATAGTTCTTTTTGACTATTGCAAAATATGTTGAATAAGTTGAACCGCTTACATCATGGTTCTTGACATGATTGTGAAGCCACGCCCACGCTGTGTTTATAGACATGACATATGTGTGAGCATGTGTTACAGACTGACTCAACTTGAATCATGAAAACACTTTGACCGGAATATTCCACAATGTTCCATAAACTTTGGACTCACTCAGCCAATCAGCTCTCAGCCTAAAGCATCAATGGGATCTTAATTACTTGGTACATTACACCTAATATGTTATAGCAACCTTTACAAGACTCTTTCAGGGGAAAACGCAAGGTATTATTTATCAAACAACCTGAATGAGGTACCCTAGCTTTAATACGCTGTACAAGTAGATTCATTGATTTAATTAATTATTACATGTTGTCTTTTTTGTTTACATATGTATTGTTTTGATCCCTGTAAAATGCGAAACGGGGGGAAACGGCCATAGGAACTAATGAAGAACAACAAAGATAAATATTTTCTATAAAGTAATACAAAACTTGACTTTAAAGTAAAAAAAATACGTTACGGCCTATCAGCTTGAATCTTTCCTTTCCTTTTCTCAAAATATGTGAAAAAAGTTTTGCAGATTTTGCTGTTTTTGTTTGTTTTTTCTACCAAACAAAATTGTCTGATCAAAGTGCTGACATTAAATAAAACTTTATAATAGTGACAATAGTGACAAAAATGAAAGGGCTGCATATAACTAATCAAACGTTAAAAACAGTTGTGCAGTTGGATAAAATGTTACATCTGATTGTGTTTATCTTCCCCATGAAGTGGACTGCAAAATCCTCACAGAGGGAGTCTGTGGGGGTTAAACGAGACATGCTAAAATCAGGGTTTAAAATGGTGTCAATGGTTGAAAATAGGACTTTCGCATTGTTTTTGTTTTGGGTGATTAGTTTTGAGAAATAATTGTTTCGGTTTTTCCTAATTGTTTTGTTGTATGTTTTTTGTTGGTTACTGTACATTTCGTAATTGATTGTTGTTTTGTTTTTCCTCCACCTACGTTCCGCCACCCTGCACTCTCTTTTCATTCTCCTTACTTCTTCGTTCCTCCATGGGGGTACAGATTTTGTTCCGGTAGTTTTTGTTTTCAAAGGAGCAACCTGATCTAACGTAGTTTTGAGTCTACTGTTAAAATCATTTGCTAACAGATCACAGGGGGCGGGTAAAACCAAGTGAGGAGTGTTATTAAGAATGTCTATAAAATTTGCAGCCACTTCAGGGGTTAGATGTCGCTTCCTCACGGTTCTCACAGAGGTCTCACGCTGGATAAAACCAGTGATGTTAAAAAACACGCAGTAGTGGTCAGAGACAGCCAGGTCGACAACAGAGGACACATCCGCAGTCAAGCCATAAGTAATGACCAGGTCGAGGGTGCGTCCTCTGTCGTGCGTTGGCTGTGTGACGTGTTGGGTAAAATCCATGTAATTAAGGACATTTAAGAACTCATTGGAAAAATTATCTGAGGGATTGTTGATGTGTATGTTAAAATCACCGGTTAGAAGAATCATATCATAAGAATTGTATAATAACTGATAAAAACTCTGAGAATTCCTTAATAAAACGGCAGCACCTCTTTGGTGGCCTATAAATTATGACTGCTAAAATTTTGGGGTTGCTAAAAACAAGAGAAAGATATTCAAAACTTGAGTATTGGTTAAAAGTGATAGGTTTGGTGGCAAGAGTGTTAGTGCATAGTGAGGCTGTGCCACCGCCCCTTTTCCCTTCTCTTGTGGTAAAAGCAAAGCTAAAATTTGGGGGAGAGGCCTCTGTGAGAATAGCCGATGCATCTGAACCAAGCCAGGTCTCAGTTAAGAACATAACATCCAGGTTTTTTTCTAAAATAAGATCATGAATGATAAAAGTCTTGTTTAAAAGAGAACGTACATTTAAAAGAGCTAGGCTTATGGTTAAAAGAGGTGTTGGCGGTGTACCTTTTGAGGCAGATTTATTTTTTGCAAGTTCAGAGTTCAAAGGGACGTGGTGAGGAGCAGAGGACGTGGAAGGAGGGAGGGCAACAGGGATGAGGTTGGTGAGACATGGTTTCCTGGAACTGGAGGGTCTGTAGGGACGGGGTCTGGATATGGCTGGGATCTTGTGCTGGGGAGAAGAGGGGCTGGTGTTGAGGGGTGACGAAGCAGGTGAGATGGGGGATGCGGTAGTGGGTTGTCAGAAATATATGGAGCGGGATTGAACTGTGTGGATGATGTTGGAAGTGAGGTACCGGTTGCCAAGGGGGGTGATATGAAGTCCATCTCGTTGGAAGAAGAGGGGGCGGTCCCAGAACAGATTAAAATTGTCTATAAAAGCAAAGTTGTGTTGGAGTGACGAATGATTGAGCCAGGTGTTAAGTGATAAAATTCTGCTAAAACGCTCCCCGCCACGGGCCAGAGTGGGCAGAGGGCCAGAGTGGGCAGAGGGCCAGAGATAAAAACAGTTTTTCCAGTCTCTGATAGCAGTTTAAAAAGGTCCTGAAAATGGAGTTTTGTGTTCTCAGACTGGCGGAGTGATGTATCGTTGGTACCAACATGGACGATGATCCGGGTTATTGTGCTTGGGGCAGTTTGGAGAAGTTTAGGAAGTGTATGAAGTAGAGTGGTGACTGTGGCTCCGGGAAAGCAGTGCGTGGTGGCGTTAAAAAACCTACATCTACGGATGATGGAGTCACCCACCAGCAGTGTTGTGGGAGCGAAGAGGGGTCGTGGAGGGTGTGATGTGACAGGCACCTGTGGAGGGGCTGGGGGTGAGAGGGGTACAGAGGGGCCCTGGGGTGTGCCCGGAGCTGAGTCCCCATGAGCGGCAGTGGAGCAGCATGGAGGACCCGGAGACGGATGTTTTGTTGGAGCCGGGGCGACCATATTGGCCGTGGTGGTGGCAGTAGTGGTGGTGGCAGTAGTGGTGGTGGTGGCGGGCGTGGGAGGGACCAGCGCAGGGCTGGAGGGGTGCCCAACAGGCGGAACGGCTTTCACGTGCACGGGAGGTCTCCTCACTGCGTCAGAGCGCTGAGACCTCCCCGCGGGTGAGGCAGCGTTCGCGGGGGGGGGCCCGCGCCTCGTCAGAGCGTGGAGACCCCCCCGCGGATGGGGCAGCGTTCACGGGGGGCCTCGGCGCTGCGTCAGAGCGCCGAGGCCTCCCCGCGGGTACCTGGGCATAAGCCGCGCTGTCAGGACTCCCCTCCGCGTCAGAGCGCACAGACCCTCCCACACCAGAGATAGCAGCCCCGGGGACAGCCCGCGCGGGGTCACCGCGAGGAAATCCCCCCGGGGCTGCCCCACCGCTCACATTAGGCACAGCACTCGGGAGCTCCCCCGCTGTGTCAAAGCGCGGGAAGCTCCCGGAGTGTCTGCGGACTGCCTCCACCCACTAACCTGCGACGGGATGTCGATGTTGTCACCCCGGGGTCTCCAGGCCTCTGCTCCGCGCCGCTCTGGGAAGCGGGCTCCGGGCCTATCGGCGGGGAGAGAGCGTCGGGGGGGTCAGACGTGCAGGGGCCAGCAGGAGCAGCCGCCACCGGGAAGCGTGAGGTAAGAAGCGGGGTAGAGCAGGAGGACGGGTGGGGGCACAAGATTGGGTCCCAGAGTGCGGTGTCCTGAAGTGTGGATGCGTGCTGAGAGTGTCTGATTGCGGATAGTGATATGTGTTGTGATTGTCTAAATGCAATGTCCATAAAATATTCGAGCAGTTTTTCTTTGTGTCTGAGATGTTGAGTTGAAGTTCCTCAGGCGTCATTGTGTGTGGTGGTTTTGTTGGGAGCATTGCAGTGAGTTGTGATTTGTAGATCTCCTTGTATATGTTTGGTGGAGGCGGTGCTGTATCCATGGTAGCAGTTTCCCGCTGGTGGCTGTTAAAAGCTCAATATTTAGTCCAGATGGGAATGACAGCAGTCCTGGTTGCAAATAGCTGTTAAAATCCACCTAATCCTACGATAACGCTTGATAAAACTAGAGTTAAAAGCTTGGTTAAAAAAAATAACTTGCAAAAGTATAGAGCTGTGAGAAGACTCTAGACAAACGCGTCCGCCATTGTCACGCATGCGCAGTTATCACTTACCTCCCCTCTATGAAAAACAAACAAAAGGAGGAATAGCAGCTTTACATTGTATCCTAATAAGGGAGTGCACAACTGATTATTTGGTCCAGCAGGAGGCCAGTCCCTGTGCTCCTCAAAGTCCCAGCAGGAGGCGAGTCCCTGTGCTCCTCAAAGTCCCAGCATGAGGCCAGTCCCTGTGCTCCTCAAAGTCCCAGCAGGAGGCCAGTCCCTGTGCTCCACAAAGTCCCAGCAGGAGGCCAGGCCCTGTGCTCCTCAAAGTTCCAGCAGGAGGCCAGTCCCTGTGCTTCTTCAGAGTCCCAGGCCTTTAGAGTCCCAGCAGGAGGCTAGTCCCTATGCTCTTTCTGAGACCCAGCAGGAGGCCAGTCCCTATGCTCTTTCAGAGACCCAGCAGGAGGCCAGTCCCTGTGCTCCTCAGAGTCTGAGTTGGTTCATACAGCACTATCATGTCACAGGTGCTTTGGTGGGAGGCCATGGAGAGAGCTGCTTTAAAGTCAAATCTCTGAGACACAAACAATGTATCATTTATTATTACTATGTCATTACACTATATCTAATAAATCTGCCTGTCCATGAGCTTTCAGATGGAAAGCAAAGGCAGATAGAGGAGGCAAGTCCAGTGGTCAAACCAAATCATCTCAGGAAATTGTCCGGAAAACAGCCTCTCGCTCAGAGGCCTGAAAGCTGATTGTCTTCTCATGTTCTGCTCTTGTTTTTCTCCCAGAGTGCATTAAAACTCCATCTGTGGGAGTTCAGCTGTGGATTGTGGTTTCAACTTCTACCAACCAGTTTACAGGAGATGGATGTGAGAAGTGTCTGCAGCATTAGGAAGAGTTGGTTTGGTCAGTGTCGCGCCACAACAACATCTGGAAACTTCTGATATTAACGACCGAGATTATTGCTGTGGTCGAGGGCCTCGAGGGCCTCGCTTCTGTCAGTGTGCCCCAGGGCAGCTGTGGCTACAGTTTATCACCACTGTGTATGGAGGGAATGAATAATGACATGTCGAGCATCTTTGAGTTTCCAAAAAACGATGCATCATTATTATTATTATCATTACTAAAACAAATCAATTATCAAATACTATTTGTTGTGCCTGTACTTTTCTGCTAAAGATAACATATTGGAATAATTTATAATAAAACGATTTGAATGTTTTAATAGCACTGAGAAAAGAGAAAAATACTCCAAACATGACATACTGGCCTTCCTTTGACTGTAACCCATCTCTATGTATTTGTGTTATTTGTTCATTTGATTTTAAATGAACATATATCATATTGCTATAATAGTAAAAAAGTAACTAGTTACTCCCGACAGGGGTAACCATGGCCCTGGTGAACATTAGAGCAGAATAATCCCCTGAGCATGAGTCTGTTTCCCGGATCTGTCCTCTGTGACTGAATCCAGAGCACTGTAGTGTTCTAGAATATATCCTTCTGATGAGAGTAAAACCCACACCTCACATAACGCCCTCTGTTTCCGGAGACCAAAGAAAATTATTTATAGTCAACAAAATGTAAGCTTAAGACAAAATCTCACGTAAAAAGCATCAATCTCCCAACATCTCCTACTATTAAAATCCCATAAAGTCATAATCTTAAATCCATTTGTCTTTCCAGTACACGCAGAGACTAAAGTAGAACTTATTTGCTGGAGTGTTTAATCTAAAGCTCTTGTGTTTGTCTCTCTCTGACTCTGACACACATCTTGAGAATACCACATTGTTTACTCACTGATGATGCAACTCCAGTCTGCCGTGTGCCCAGACAATAAAGGAGATATTTATTCGAACGTTGTCGCATATTTTCTGGCTCTTTTCAAAAAAACGTGTGTAGAAATTATGGTCAACTTGGACATATAGAGAAAGGGGCAGAAAGCATGTGCAAAAGGCTAAACTTTGATGTTTAAAGCTTCTCTCTTGTTTCGCAAAGTATTGTTCCTTGTGTGGCTTGCGGTGGGGTTTTTTTTTTTGCTGCCTTGCCTTAATTAGGCGTGACAAGTTTATTTAGATAGCACAGTTCATACACAGGGCAAAGTGCTTCACAAAACAAGAAAGGAAACATTGAGCCTATAAAAGCAGTCAAAGCGTATCATCACAGTACATTAACGAATTCAAAATAATAAATTCTCAAATCTTTCAGTTGGATGCATAGCTAGAAATAAAGACAAGAAATATATTTTTTATATTTTGTTGTGTATCTATTTATTATGACCCGGATAAGCCTGGATTTTAAAACTGTAGTAGAAGCCTGTCTCACATTTTAAGCAAGTCCCTGTGCTCCTCATAGTCCCAGCAGGAGGCCAGTCCCTGTGCTCCTCAGAAGGTTGAGTTGCAGCTCTCAACAGAGAAATGGACTAATAAAGGGGATGATAATTAATGAATGAAAGAATCAGAAAATATCCAATGGCAGTACAGGTGATGGGGCGGTTCTATTTCTTTGTCTTCCAGGACGTTTCAAGGTCAGAACAGTAACAATACCCTAACTAATTATAGCAAGACTTGGAGTTGTGGAACTTAGGTGTATTTGCGACACTGCAGTGCTACTCAAATTACACTGGTACTAAACGGGGTTTGGGAAGGTTGAGGCTCACTCAGATTAGCCCATGAGTTAAAAAAAAGCAGTATACAATGTCACTATCAGAGACATGGAAAGAAAGGACTGAAAAGGTGATTCTGCAGATGTTCAAGGGGACAGTGGCAGACGAAACATAAAGTGAATACAAAACAGTTTGGTGAAAGCAAAGAATCCAGAAGCAAAGAACTATAAGATGTGCAGTTACTACATTCTTACGTCTTCATTATGATAAAGTTGGAGATTTTAGACTTGCTTCTTTATAATGCTTAAGTCCTGAAGAAACATATGTGGAGGAGTGAGGACAGAGCACAGAATGAGTAGTGGGAGGGAGGTGTGTGGTCAGAGAGTGTTTGGGCCTGTGTCTTATCATGTTGTGCAAAGTGTGTGTGTTGCGTGTGTGTGATTGTGTTGGGTTGTGTTGAATGAGTGAGAGGGGTTGAAGCCAGTTTATCTTTTATCTTGTTTATGTTGTTTTCTTTTGCACACCGTTTGAAATGAATTCTTTCTATACTATACTAAAAGTCCACTGAATCAGAATGAATGGGCGTGTGGTGCTCTGACGCAGGGGCCTTGTGTCGAGGTGCAAATAAACGCTGTATAAACAAACATCGGAACCATGAGTGGAGTCTGCAGAACAACAAAGAACAGACAGACTTTCCATTGAAGCCTTTTCAAACCTGCGGTGATGAACTCCAGCTGGAGCTCTGGACACTCTCTGACCTGAAGCAGCAGCCGAGGCACCGTGCGGGAGAGCCGTCGTTTCAATGTATTTGTGTATAGCCCTACATGATGAGAGAATCAAACAGTTCCAACACAGGAAATGCAATAATAACATTGGTCTAAAGGAAGCGGATTAAAAATGTGTATAGACTTTGATAAATATCCCTAAATGTCTCAGATCTTAGGCCCACCTGCATCAGTAAGGAAACGTGACTCTTGGGGGTCTACGGTAGAACCTTGGGGAGTGTAATAAGTCATCAACTCTTGTGTGATTTTTTATTTTTTATTTTGTACAATATTTTGCATACTTAGTGCTTTTTTTCTTAGAGAGAAATGAATATTTACTCCTTGCAAAGTCATGAGCGATGACATATGTATCAATTATTATGTCATTCCATAAAGAAAGTAGTGCATACATCGTAAAAACAGAAGCTACGCGTGAAAGTGAAGAATATGGTGTTTGGTGTGGCCTGGTATGTGACCCATGGATGAACACGGACTGGGGGCTCCTGGTGTCTCCTGGGTCACTGACATCCAGAGGGAGAGGTGCTACTGCAGAGAGGTGCTGAAATTAATAATTCCCTCAAATTCACACTTCACGATTGCTGAAGTGTGAACTGTATAATGCGGAAGCACAGGGGTCAAAGTGAAGGCTGGTTTTTTTGTTTCAAGAATATTTGTTGAGTTAAGAAATACTGTACATGCAGGAATGATGTGTATATTAATGTCCATGGTATATTAAAGTTGCTTAACCATATCAGAGTTGATGATCTCTTTGAACTTTTTGCATTAGCTGACTTTTGTTTGATCAGTTGCTATATTACATTTATTTCAATGAAGCTGCAGTATGTCACTTTTTGTAGGTGGCACAAGACCTACGTGGCTCTTTGGAAAAAAATGTTTCATGGCATAGTTAGTTTGTCTATGTGAGGACCACCCTCACTCAGATAATTAACTCTCAGCTCAAACAGTCAAATAGTGACTCACAGGGCACAACAGATAATCGATTTTCTTACATAAAAATTGTTTGATTTGTTCAAAAATGTTCCTCTTCCTATTTCTGTTCGACAAACGACAAGCAAAATGTATGTAAAAAAGGTACCCCAGCTCTAATGGGCAGTGACTCAGGGATAACATTTGAACAGACAACAGCAAGACTTTACATAGTAATTATTAGTTTGATTGTGGCGCCATCTTGTGTTTACTGCGACACCCTGCACTTCCGCCTTCACCGGCGCAACATCCGGTTGTGCAGCAGCCATTTTGTCTGCTCTGCAAATCTGCCCCGACGACAACGAACTCCAGTTCCACCCTAAAACAACTATTAAAAATGTTGTTATTAACATTATATTCGGGTTAATTTTGCGTTTAAAAGGCCTTTAAAATTCACACGGCTTCACTGCGGATCCGTAACGACCTCTACTTTACGCAATAAGCCGAAACAAGTCGTTAACGTGGGGAGAAATGTCGTGTGAGGAGAGCTACTTGGAAATTATTCGCTATCTGACAGACGAGAAGGAGCCGTACGCACCGGGAACCTCCGGAAACACCAAGAGGAAGATCCGCAAGGCCGCCGTGTGTTATGTGGTTAGGAACGGCACTTTGTTTTACCAGCGGCGCATTAAAGGACACGATGGATTCACGGAGCTGGAGGTGGTGCTGCAGGACGAGCGCAAGAAGGAACTCATCACCCGGGCACACATCACTGAGGCCGGCGAGCACCTCCACCCCCAGGCCACATGGGACATCCTATCCCCGAAGTACTGGTGGAGAGGTACGGCCTTCACTGCTCTATGTGCGGGTTATGGTTACATCAGGGTGACATCCAGGAGGATGTTGTATCATCTGTGTTTGTGATGAGGAGATTCTGCCGCGTGTTTACTGCGTGCGCCACTTGACACTGATGCACTAGGTCTCCATCTAGTGGTTTCAAGTAGCTAGTGCATTTTATAAAATTATTATTATAGTTTTTAAATGTCGCCAAAATAAAGATAAGGCTAATATTTATATTGGCTTGTGTTTATTTTAGGATATGTTACTGATAATTAAAATAATGCATTGGTTATACATAGACATTTTTTGTACAGGGTGGGGCGCCTGTAAAGTGCCAAACTGTTGCTGTGTTCTTAGGCAAGACACTTCACCCACATTACCTAGAAGCAATCTGATCTGTGAGTGAATGGTTGGTGGTGGACAAAGGGGTTGGTGGCCTGACAGGGCCGCTGTGGCTACAGTAGTAGTTTATCACCACTGTTTATGAAGTGAACAAATAATGACTATAATAATGAATAATGTGAAGCGTCTTTGAGTGTCCTACTAAATGCTATGTAAAACCAATGCAATGTTATGAATATATTGATATTGGTAATACACATACATCTGTAGTTCTATTCTATATATTTGATCTTCCTCCTTTTTAATCCCAGCCTAGTTTTGTCATAGGCATGATTCAATCTCAAAATAGCTGATCTGAAATGGTGTGCTCTGTGCAGGAGTCCTGAAGAACGTGAAGGATGTGATCAAAGAATGTGCTGAGTGCCAGAGCAGACGTGCGGAGGACGGTCCTGGTCGAGTGGCTCGTGGAAAACGCAAAGCCCTCCAGGAGGATGAGGACGAAGAGTTGGAGGACGACGGATCTTTCTTTGGCTCAGAGAAACAAAAGGCCAAGCATGAAATTGTGTTTGTAAGTATTCAACGTAATGTTTTGCCACAGTGGGAACTGGGAAGAATAAACATAATCTTTAGAGGTGATTTTTATTAAAGAAGAAATATTATGCATTATTTTTGATAGACGATAGAGACTGTACTTTGTCTTTTGATGTTTTGAATCTGATTATGTCTTATGAAATAAATGGTAAAATAAATTTGAAGGTTAAACAACGCTTTTTCTAATCTGTTTTATAAAGAACGTTAAGAAACTGCCAAAAATTATTGATGGGCAATACTTATACAGAGAAAATTGTTCATAGTGGTTCAATGACATCAGTGAGACAGGAGCTTTTTGACAGAAGGGGCGGAGCTTCTAGAGTAGAGTAGACCTGAAGCTAAGCATGGCAGGAATTGTATTTCCCATTTTGATTCTTGTTTTTTTTAAATGAAATAAATACTTACTAAATGTGTGATGTCCACTGGTCTTCTCTTTGCAGGTGGACAGTAAGGGAGTGGTTAGCCAATTCTTGTCCAAACACAGTGGGACGATGTTGGACAAACTCAACGATCAACGCCTCAACAATCAGTTCTGTGACATCACACTCCTGATAGAGGGGGAGGAGTTTCGTGCTCATAAAGCCGTGCTTGCCGCCTGCAGTGCCTACTTCCATGAGCTGTTCTTCGAGAAGGGTGCGGCCTCCACCCATGAAGCCGTGGTCGACCTCTCTGGTTAGTCCTCAGACCTCAGTCCTCAGACCTCTGTTTATCAATGCTCTGATGAACTCTGCTTTTTCTTCCTCAGGTTTTGCTAAGACCACGTTCTTGCCGCTGCTGGAGTTTGCGTACACCTCGTCTCTCACCTTTAACTTCTGCTTCATGGCCGACATCGCAAACCTGGCGCGGCACCTGCTGATGAACGAAGTGCTGCAGATCTGTGAGGCGGTGCATAAGAAGGTGGAGCAGCAGAAGCTCACGGTTTATCAGCGCGGGGACGTTCACACCGTGGTGTCTGCTCATAGCGAGCAAGAGCTGAGCTGCGGAGACGAGCCGCAGGACGTCGCGGCAGAAACCACATATGTCGTGGCCATCGACAGCAACGGCAGCGCAGTGGCGGTCACTCCCGAGCAGCTCGCCTTTGTCACCAACAAGCAATTCATTCAGCAGCCGGTGACGGTGGTTGCTACGGGAGATGATGAAGAGGCAGAACATGAGACGGTGACTCTGATTGGTCACACGCAGCCGCAGCCTGGAGAGACGGTGACGCTGCTGTCAGGGGCCGAGGTGCTGGATGGCGAGGCCATGACGGTGGTGACGCACAGCGGCCAGGCGGGACACAGCGACTCTCTGGCCGTGGTGTCGGCCTGTTTGGCTCTGGAGCAGGAGCCCGAGGCCCCGGAACAGAGCTATGTGGTCAGTGTGAGTGACTCTGACAGAGGAGCAGAGCCCGCCCTGCCTCAAGCTGAAGACACGCCTCAGGTTGAGCCCGCACCACAGGTCGCAGACCCCCCACCACAGAAGAGAAGGAGGGGGCGTCCAGCCAAAGTGAAGAAGGAGGTGGTGGAGGAACCTGTGAAGGAGGAGGAGCCGGCCCCTGAGAGCCCAGAGCCCCAGGACCTGAGCCCGAACACAGGCTGCAGGAGACTGAGGCACCGCTCCATGGCTGAAGGAGGCTACGCCCGTCTGCACGCAGGAGGGGAGGGGGCGGAGGAGGAGGAGGGGGGTGACGGGACGCCGTTATCTCCTCAGGCTTCAGTCCCAAAGGTGAGACTGGTCTGAGCTCAGGCTCCTGAGAGCGTTCTCTTAACCCTCTCTCTGCTGCAGGTGTCTCTGCGCACAGGAAAGAGGGGCCGCCCGCCCAAACGCCCTGTGGAGCCTGTGGAGGACGAGGCACTCACCGCAGAGCACCTGGGGGCGGAGGGGGCGGAGCCTGACCCCTTGAAATCGGCGGACGGAGAGCACTCCTGTTCTGAGTGCGGCATGACGTTCAGCAGGAGATACTCCCTCATCATGCACACGCTCAAGCACGAGAAGGCGCGCAGCTACAAGTGCTGTGTGAGTCTCTCCTTCTGCATATGTGTGTGTCTGTCACGTCCGTCACATGTGTCTAACTCCCTGTTGTGTTGCAGCTTTGCAGTAAAGAGTTCCAGTACGCGGCATCTCTGCGCACACATCTGGCGCGTCACAAACAGCTGAGTCAGCGCAGTGCACCGCGTCTTAGCACAGGATCAGAGTCTCGTGCAGACGACGCGGAGGAACGAGATCAGACCAAGAGGGAGTTTGTGTGCGACATCTGCGGCAAGAGCCTCCCCAAGCTCTACTCTCTGCGGCTGCACATGCTGAGCCACACGGGCGTCCGGCCGCACTCCTGTAAAGTGTGCGGGAAGACATTTCCTCACAAACACAGTCTAAAGATGCACCGCATGCTGCACGAGACCAACAAACAGTTTGAGTGTCAGTACTGTCACAAGACCTTTGCCTCCAAGAGGAGCATGGAGGACCACACCAGCCTGCACACCGGTCTGTACTGTACTCTAGTATCATACCTGTTAATACTGTGTATATTACTTTAATCCTGTACACTCTGCAGGTCAGTCCAAGTACCTGTGCAACACGTGTGGAGCCACCTTCCACCGCGCCTCTGCTTTGAGTAAACACATGAAGAAGCACTTACCCAAACCCACTGAGCGGCCCTTCGAATGCTCCCAGTGAGTCCTTCATTCGCTGCACTTTCACACAACCTCCTTTTCTGATACTGAATCCAAACTGTGGTCCTTCAGCTGTGAAAAGCGCTTTGTGGAAGCCAAAGACCTGCAGCAGCACATGAACAAGCACATGGGGCTAAAGCCGTTCCAGTGTCAGGTCTGCGGAAAGTGCTACAGCTGGAAGAAGGACTGGTACTCCCACGTCAAGTCCCACACCGTCGCTGAGCCCTACAAGTGAGTTCACTCCCGCTTTTTTTACATAAGTTTTGAGAACTGCACTAAATGGATAATAAGTCTGAGCCCAAACCTACTGGATGTTCCTCTGACATGCACTTGATGATATATTGTTATTTGTCATTAATCGACTGTATCTGTTGTATCAGGTGTAACATTTGTGGGAAAGAGTTTTTTGAAAAGGCTCTGTTTCGACGCCACGTGAAGAAGGCGACTCACGGGAAGAAAGGACGAGTGAAGCAGAACCTAGAGAGAGAGTGCGGCCAGTGCGGACGCAAGTTCAGCCAACTGAGAGAGTTCAGACGCCACGTCAACAACCACCAGGGTGAGGAGTTGTTAGAGTAGTCTAACCTACTGGAGACTAAAGCGTGGATAAGCCTCTTCAAGTCTCCTTTAGACACTATATTTTTGATCTTGGGGATGTTTTTTAGATCTGACTGACCTGATTTGAAGGTTTTAGAAAGGGAGATGGATAACGCTCTCTCTTTCTTTCTGGGGACCAAAGACAATAATTTCAGTTGTGTCTGAGTTTAGCTGATCTGTTGGTTGCAGTGAAGGAGTGAGTCCACTGGTCTCCTGCTCCTCCTACTGAGACATAGATCTGAGTGTCATCTGCATAGTTATGATAGGACACATTGTTTCTACGTATTAACTGACCTAACGGCAGCATGTAGAGATTGAACAGAAGAGGTCCCAGGATCGACCCCTGTGGAACTCCGCAGGTCAGAGCTATATGATCTGTCTTCTTGTGTTTGTCCTTCTCTTTAAGACTTAATGCATTTGTTTAAAGTTGTACTGTTAACAACCCAGCCACATAGACCCATACCCTGCAGTGATGTAAACGCTGTCATCCGCAGGAGTGAAGCCGTTCGAGTGCCTGACGTGCGGCGTGGCGTGGGCCGACGCGCGCTCCCTGAAGAGACACGTGCGCACACACACAGGTGAGCGGCCATACATCTGCCCCATCTGCCAGGAGGCGCACATCGACGCCCGCACACTGCGCAAACACATGAGCAAGTTCCACTGGGACAACCTGCCAGGGAAGATCATGCTCGAGAAGGACACCCTGCAGTTCCACAACCAGGGGACGCAGGTGGAGCACGCCGTCAGCATCCTGGCCTCCGATCTGCCGCCAGAGCTGAGGGAGGCACAGGGGACGGTGGACGAGGAGATTGAGACCGTGCTGATCACAGAGGAGACGGTGGAGGCGGTGGAGGCTGTAGAGGCGGTGGAGGCTGTAGAGGCTGTAGAGGCGGTGGAGGCTGTTCAGGCAGAGAACATGTCCACGCTGTCGGACCAGGGCATCATGCAGGTCGTCAACTACGTCCTGGCGCAGCAGGCTCTGAGCAAAGAGGACGGCCCTGAGATCATCCAGACCATGGAGGTGGAGGTGGCCCACGTGGCGGAGGTCGAATGAACTGTGCCCATGAAAGAGACTGGCCTACTGTACATCTGTGATTCTGTTTGTTCGAATAAGTTTAATGTGTAAATAGGTGTACAGAATTTAGAATAAACATGTTTTGCTCCAGGCCTTTGTTTCTGCTGCTCCATCTTTCACTTCTGCTTTTGACCTGCGCTATTTAAGACATGTTTGAGGTTCGTTAAACGTTATTCAGTCTTTAAGCAACGGCTGTACTGCATCTTTAACCCTCATAGACGTCTATATTCAGATCAAATCAATATGGAGTTTGATCGTGGACCAGACCTTATTTAGCACTAAAATTCTCAAAATACATTTTAGTTTTTCTTTTGTTATTGTCAAATGTATAAGATCTTTGAAAACATGTGACTTAAGATCTAATGTTCATAATGGCCGAACAAATAAAGTACTTCTACTAGAACAAGAAAATCCAAATTAAAAGCATTTAAAATGAGCTGCTGATGATGAATTAACTTATTAACTGAATAAACGTGTGACTTTCTATTGTTGATTATTTACAGTCTGTAACATTGTGTAATCCACTGGTTTTATATAGCACTTTTCTGGACACTCAAAGACGTTTCCCATGTCATTCTTTTACTCTATACACAGTGGTAATAAACCATCCTTGTAGCCACAGCTGCCCTGGGGCACACTGACAGAAGCGAGGCAACCAATATGTGCCATTGGCCCCTCCGGCTGCCACCAACCATTCACACACACACACACACACACACACCAGACTCATTCTTACGTAGGCAATGTGGGTGAAGTTTGACATTTAACAACCGCAGCCACCCCACCGTGGCACCTGGTGTTCCCAGAGGTCTCCCATCACTGTACTAACTTAGCCCTGCCCTGCTCAGCGTCAGAGGTCTGATGGGATCTGGCTTTCACAAGTTTGACATAAACCATTGAGCAGTTTTCAGTTCCATGAGACTTAATGACTGGACACAAAAGTGAGATAGCAGTTTGGTTATTATTTATTCACTTTATATCAAAATACCCTTTATTTACAAAACTGTACAAGAATAAGAAAACTGAACACTAGCTCTGTTTCTGAAAAAGGCAGTGAAAACATTTGAACTTTGGGCTCTGTCATTATAACATGCAGCATTATAGCATTTTAGTTCAATTCCAAACAACTGGAGATGAGAAACCAGGCTGTATTTTTACACAAATATGTACATGAAATGAACCTCTACCATAACAAACAAAAGACAAAAGCATCAGTCACAATATACAGAAACACTGGATCTTTAAAAGCCTTTATAAGCGGCTACATATTCGTACAAATGAATGACCATACTTCAAAGCAAACATGGTGCATTGATCTCAACATTATATATATTTATTTTAAAAAAAACAGTAGAAAATATTTCCCTCAAATAATACTTCTCAAAGTAAATGTCTGAAATGTTTACAATCAATTCTGGCTCCAACCTCAAAACAAATCCAGTGTATGAGATGCAGAGATCATTGACAAAGTGAGTTTACGTTTTTGCTACATCCCTCAGAAAAACAGTCAGCCCTATAATAAAATTAAAAAACCCAATAATGTAAAGTTTTTTTTCCAGTCATGCGTTACAAATAATGGAATGAACAAGAACACGTAAAAAAAATAACTCAGAGAAGTCCAGAAAACGTGATTCAAGTGCTCGGAAGAACCTACACTGCAAAATGTGAGACGATTTAGGTTAATAAGTGCTTGAAGCCAATATTTATTTTTTCAATTTGAGAATATTTAGACTCAGTATTCACCAATGGAACAAGGTGATATCAGCAACTTAAATGTTTATAGTAATGTATATTTCTGACCATGAGACACAGTACTGCTATGTTCAGTAAGTATTTTACAACTACCATTACAATATATTTAAAACAGTCCCTCCCATTGGCCAAACTACAACCAGTATGATTTGCTGGAGGAGAATAGTTCAACCAATGACGAAGAGCCTCTCAAGGATTTGAATTAATTTCGACCAATCAGGAAGCTGCAGGGTTTAACCAGTGAATCTTTATACTGTTTATTCACAATTTTAAAAGTATTGGTAACCGACTTTTACTTTAAAATTGTGTTCATAATATGGCTCTTTAGACAAGTAAAACAGCTTTATATGGTGGTGGAAGTAGAAAATGACTTAATAAAGCAATGAATAAACAGCCTTACTATCAATCTATGGATGTGAAATTATTTTTGTATACATATTAGTATAACAAACTAACTAAATATCCAACCTGGGGTGTGGTACAATTGAAAGCCAAAACCAAATTTGGAGGCAATGATTTTGTTTTATAAAGTAGAAAGAGCTCATAGTCTCAAGATTTGACAAATTGTGACAGGTTTGAATAAGGGGCATTCTGACAGAAAGGGCGGGGCAACGTGTTTGTGCCAGAAGTCTCTCATATCATCCCGACTGGGGCTGAAAACAATTTTTGAGGGAACAGTGTAGTGTTGAACAGAAGCTCGAACAAATGTGTGTGTAATTCAAGCAAATATTAACTCATTTTGCAGTGTACAAATGCACCAAAGCACCTCCACATCAAACCCGAACAAAAATAAGTGCATTCGGCTTGTTTTTCAGCACTAAGGCTTTGAAGGTTCCTCTAATCAGACTAAGATCTTAAAGAAGCTAGTTCTGATTAATTACTGCATATTTTGGTGGTAGACTTCCACCTTGGTCAGAGTGAAGTGAGTCCAAAGTGTGAGCCAAGGTGAAGGCCCCCCTCGTCTCCGTTGATGGTCCGTGCTTCCTGATTTCAATCTCCTCTCTTATCAATCTTTTGTATTTGTTCAATTCAATTCAATATATTCATGTACAGCCCTAAATCACAACATATTTGAGCTCTTCGGTTCAATATTTGAATTGTCCCAGTTTGACGATCTGTCCTCATTAGGTAACAACAGCTGAATCCCACTGGGTTTTTTGATAGTTCCGTGGCGATACAAGAGGGTCTAAGGACAGAGTGGACATCCATTTATGAACCTTCTATGTGTTTGTTATTATTGCTCTATTTGTTTTTTATATCTTTGTTTGAACTGTCTGTGCTGGCAAATCGACAATTTTGCTAAATGACTGCTGTTGTGATTTAGGGCTATACAAAAATAAATAGAAATTGAATAAAACACGTCCCACCTCTCACTGCTGACAAAAACGTGAGTCTCCTGCTAAAACATGTGGTATTCAGGTTAAGCAGAACTAGCTTCTTAACACTGTCTAATTACAAGAACATTCAAAGCCTTAAATACAAAGAACACAGTTTGAACTTTTTACATTTAATCTGTATTTCAGCAGTTTCCGCACGTGTACATTTTTTTATAAAACAACGAATAAAAAAATCAACAGCAAATGAAATGTTCTGAAAATGAAAGTAGTTGAATGCTTTGGATAGCCATCTGGAGCGAAGGTGCGGTTCCTCCTCCTCTTCCCCCTTCTCCTCCTCCTCTTCACTCACCCTCCTCCTTGATGCGCTGCTGCTTGTTGCGGCGTGAATCCAGGTCGAAGGAGAAGTCGGACCACTCGTCTCTCGGTGGGAAGGAGATGGTCTGGCGCAGGGTGAAGCGCACGGCGTCGATCACCCGCTCGCCGCGCGCCTCAGAGGATCCCAGGCTGACACTGGACGCATTGCTGGTGGTGCGCACGATGTGGGGCGGCGGCGAGAAGTCCATGGCCTGCCGCTGCTCGATGATGCCCTTCCAGATGGGGTGCTGGAACTCCACCGGGATCTTGAGCCGGGACAGGTCCTGTATCACACCATTACACAGTACAGCGGTTAGCAGCGGTGCGAGCACTGCAAAATAAACCACAAGAAACCAGGCTCAAGCCGAGGTGCAGACGGAGCCACTTCTCCTGCTGTTATCGCACTAGTAATACTGCTGCTGCTAATGTTGCTGCTATTACTGCTACTACTGCTACTACTAACATAAAATAACACTAATACCAGTTCCCCTGTGGGCACTTTATCACTTTCTTTTACCTTAGTCCTACTACTACTACTACTACTACTACTACTGCTGCTACTACTACTGCTACTACTACTGCTAATACTACTGCTACTACTACTGCTACTGCTACTACTACTACACTTGTGCATCTGCTAAAATTGGCATTCATCTTTCTGCATTTAAACAGTGCCTTGCTGCAGCTCTACTCAGCCTCATCATACTCAGATTTCAGCTTGTCCTGCAACCCTCCTCCTCCCTGTCACCACCTCAACAGTGGCACATCACTCATTTCATCGGCCCATCTCTCCACAGAAGGGACCAGTGCTTCTCTACTGGTATCAAACTTGTAACTTCCAGCCAAAGTATCAAATAGTGACTCGAACCAACAAGCAGGCAAAAGTTAACATGTTTTCCAATAAGATGGGATTTTTGGTTTTACTTGTACAAGACTTTTGGTTTGGACAAATGCAATGTATTATTAAGAGAGAAAAAAAGGTTATAAAAAAAACATATACCGGGATGTAATAATTTGACTATTGATTTTAGCAGTGGAAGGAGACTGGGGTGAGAGAGTGGGAGAGAGAAGTGCTCACCTCCATGTTGTAGTTTTCGATCTGGTAAATGTTGGTTATGCCCTGTGCGGTGAAGTAGTCCAAGCAGCCTGCGCAGCCCAGCCGAATGAGGAAACTGGGGAGAGAAGGTGCACACGTTACATTCACAACGTAAATAACAACAACAGAAAGTTCATATTTGATTGTATTAGGCAAAAACATATCTCATATATGTCTCAGTATCTTTTGACCAAAGGATTCTTGTAGTCCCCATGTAAACAATTGTATTCTTGTTCCATTGGCCAATCCTGTTTTAAGAAAGTCTAAACGCAGTGAAATGAAGATATATCCGACTAAATCCAAGCTGTTATCAAACATGTTTGGTTGTACATTGTGTTTGCCATGCAGTTAAAGTCAAGAAATAAAAAAAAGAAAAGCAGCATTTTGGATGAATATATGGATTGTAAAAATTCTGGGGGAATGATGAAACATAAACATAAACATAAATAGTGTTATTAGTGTGTTCCTTCTGTGTTGTTTGAAAAGCTATTCTTCTCCAGCAGGGGTGTCCAAACTTCTTTCCAAAGGTTTGATTCCGATGTTCTAATACAGAGGTGTCAAACCAGTCCTCAGAGGGCTGGAGGGGAGCAGACCAGACTCCACCCATTTTCTCTTCGGTCTTCAGGTTAAGACTGAACTCTCTTGAGGAAATAGGTGGAGTCTGGTGTGCTCCTGCTTGGTTAGAATGAAAACCTGCGGCCACACCAGCCAGTTTGACACCTCTGCACCTTGAACTAACTTAAACCGTTGTATAATATGTCATTAATATAAATTTTTTATCACATTTATTCATTCTCAAACATAAAAATCTGGTCTCACTCCATAACCATGGGGTAAACAAGAGTAAAGTATAGCCACACTGCAAAACTAGCAACGTCCATTTCTCTAACATCCAATAGCTTCTAACACTTAAATATGAATGAGACGAAATAATTGAAAGAGTATAGATTGCTACATTTAGAAAAAAGTATTAAATATTTGCTTAAAATATGAAAAAATATCAAAAAACCTCTTAGATTGGCTCAGCAACAAGCGTTATTACTGTTATTTCACAGTATATTCACAGTTCTGTCCTTTTATGTCAAAATAATGGAAGTAAAACAAGACATTTAATGATATTTTTGTTGAATTGTTCTCAAATATCGGTGAAAACAACTGATTTCCAGCCAAAGCTGCGCAGTTTGGACACCTCTGCTCGAGCTTTGCTTTCGTTGCTTTCTCTTTCTCTGCTCTATTCTGTTCCGGTTCCCCCAGTGAGAGCCTACTCTGGCCTGCCGCTGCCTGTCCGTGCGTGGGCCGTGTGTCTTTGTGTCTGGGGGGGTACCTGGAGATGCTGCTGTCCATGGGGTAGGGAGGAGGGGGGGTGCAGTGCTGCGAGGAGGGCACCAGGGGGAGCTGTGACTGCAGTGCGTGTGTAGGACTCAGTGAGCTCATGTCGCTCATGGGGATGTGAGAGCCCATCATGGGAGTCACTGAGGAGACAAGAGCAGGCGCGTCAAGCTCTGCCGTGTGACTAAACGCACAGATAGGATGCAGTACTTGAACTTTGTAAGCACGTGTTTTTGTCTGTAAGAACTGGCACGTCTCAGGGAGCTCATCACGGAGAGGTCTGAGAGCTCAAGACAAGACACTAAGGCAGACATGTCAAACTTCAAGTACCAATATTTGCTTGAATTTATCTTAAATTATTATAGTTGCAGCATCAATGGCACTAGTCTACGATGGCATGTTATAGCCATTTTTTAACCCTTTATGTTCACTCCTTCTACAAAATGGTTGAGATGCAGCTTGATGGTAAAAGTGCTTAAAATCAAGTGATAAAGATATGTCCCAATTAGGTAGATTTCAGTTCCAGCTTCAAGCAATGTTAAGCAAATGTAATTAGAAGTTCAATTGTTAAATAAATGTTTTGAAATGTCTACTAGTCTTCAACTACATATAATCTTGATACTTGGTGCAGGTTTGGTACAATCCACAGAATCTGAACTCATTTTGTTCCGAAAAATCTACTGGAAAAGAATATCCAATCTAACACATGTGAAACAAGATGAAAACAATATTTATAATTTTTCAAAAAACTTTCATAATTTTGGCCCCCAACCAGGTCTTACTTGAATTTCTTTGGCCCTCAAATTAAAAATGAGTTTGACACCCCTGCCCGAAGGAATTCTCAAAAAGATGAAGTCGCGGCTGCCAGCGATGAAACCCGAAGCTAAGCAGTTTTCAGGAGCAAAAACATGGACATCCATCAAAAAGGTCCTGAAGCTGGTTCCTCCACAAGGACATAAATTCAAATAACTCTTCAACCCCTTACTAGTACTTCTAATTTGGGGTCTCCAGCATGTTTGTGATAGAAAAGAGCTACTCTTTTGAGAGCTACCCTTTTTTTGCAGTCATTACAAAAAAACTCATAACTGCGGAAAATCATAATCATAACCCTAATTTTCTGAACATAAAGAAAACCTTCATAATAAAATGAAATTACTCAAATGGTAATAACTCAGGATCATGTATCAAATTCCTGAATATTTTGGGGAGCTACCTGAAAGGGGTGGCAAGCTACTGGTAGCTCCTGAACCAGTGGCTTTTATGTGTTTGTTATTATTGCATATGTATTTCATGCGTTTATTTGAACATTTTTAATTCTGCTCAAAAGGAGTGGGCTGAGCTAAGTTCAAACTGTTTGATTCTCTAAAAATGTTTTCTTTCTGTTAGTTTTCAACTTGAATTGAATTGCATTTAGTACAGTATTTGACATTTTCATAAACTAAACTAAGCTCTTCTTTGGGTTGTGTCTCTTGGTCTCTCTCTCTGGTCTCTCTGGTTTATCTCTGCCCTCTCTCTCACTCTCTCTGGTCCCTCTCTGGTCTCTCTCTCTCTCTGGTTTATCTCTGCTCTCTCTGGTCCCTCTGGTTTATCTCTGTTCTCTCTCTGGTCCCTCTCTGGTCTCTCTCTGGTCTCTCTCTGGTTTCTCTCTGGTCTCTCTCTGGTTTCTCTCTGGTCTCTCTCTGGTCTCTCTCTGGTCCCTCTCTGGTCTCTCTCTGGTCTCTCTCTGGTTTCTCTCTGGTTTCTCTCTGCTCTCTCTCTGGTCCCTCTAGTTTCTCTCTGCTCTCTCTCTGGTCCCTCTCTGGTCTCTCTCTGGTCTCTCTCTGGTTTCTCTCTGGTCTCTCTCTGGTTTCTCTCTGCTCTCTCTCTGGTCTCTCTCTGGTCTCTCTCTGGTCTCTCTCTGGTTTCTCTCTGCTCTCTCTCTGGTCTCTCTCTGGTCTCTCTCTGGTCTCTCTCTGGTCTCTCTCTCTAGTTTCTCTCTGCTCTCTCTCTGGTCCCTCTCTGGTCTCACTCTGTTCTCCCTCTGCTCTTTCTTTCTGTCTCTGGTCCCTCTCTGCCCTCCCTTCATTTATACTGATACCAGTGGGTCCCAACAGGTTCCAGTTGAGAATCCCTGGTCTGGTTTGTGTGTGTGTTTCATGTGAAAAGCCTCCACTCAAAGCCGAGCACAGGAGTCACTTACTGTCAGTGAGGCCGCCCGACATGCCAGAGGGGGTCAGGCTGTTCCTCTGCTGCGGGTTGATGAGCTGGGACACGGACGGGAGTTTGTTCATCTTGCCGTGAGTGGGAGAACTGGAGCCGTACGAGGACTGAGGCGGCATCGGAGACCTGGGAGACAGAGGGGAAACTGATGATGTCTGACAATATGAGCTCAGTGTCGTTCATGAACCAAAGAGATGCACGAAACGAGACCTTGGAGTTCAGGAAGTCAAAATTGCATTCTTCCCCCCCCATTGGGATTTAACATATGTAATTATAAAAGTTACAGACCACCTGCACTGTAATAAAAGACAGATACACTAGTGCCTTATTTATTGCGGGGTTGTGTTCTAGAAATAACCCACAATAAGCTAAATCCTTGAAGTAGCAGCTGTATGTTTTAAGGCTGTAAAACCCCTCACCAAAAACTTTATACTTTTTCTAATCGCCTGAACTCACGACTGCTGAAGTGAGAGAGACCACATATTTCAAACCTTTCGGAGCACTGCTGCAGCTGTCAAAAGTGCGTGCATACACTGTGAAATACTGCTGCACTGAGGGACAGGAGCAGGACTGAGGGCGAAAGGGAAAGTCGCGATAGTCCTCTGAACTAATCACAGCGGTGCAGTGAGCAGAGAGAGCAAAGAGAGAGAGAGACCAAAGAGAGAAGAGACTAGAGGGAGTCCAGAGAGAGAGAGCAGAGTGAGAGGGAGAGAGCAGAGAGACATGAGACATGGGGCGGCACGGTGGCTGAGTGGATAGCACTCTCGCCTCTCAGCAAGAAGGTCCTGGGTTCGAATCCCGGCCGGACCAGGGCCTTTCTGAGTGGAGTTTGCATGTTCTCCCCGTGTCTGCGTAGGTTTCCTCCGGGTACTCCGGTTTCCCCTACCACTAAAAATATGTACAATAGGTCTCGCATGCGCCTCCTGTTCGGCAACCCCGCTCACATCTCTGTGTGGAGTGAGAGGACAAGTGCCCAAAAATAACAATTGTAAACCGCTTTGTGACTCTGGTCTGTGAAAGGCGGTATATAAATAAAGATTACTTACTTACTTACTACTACATGAGACCAGAGATAGATCAGAGAGAGTCCAGAGAGAGAGAGAGCAAAGAGACAAGAGATCAGCAAGAGTAAGTAAGTAAGTAATCTTTATTTAGAGACTCAATTCGAGTGAGAAATTGCTTTGTGTACCAAAAATATTGCATGCTTGTTCTATGGGTAAACTGGTTGGTTGGTTGAAAAAATAATCTCACCATTCTAGTGTTAACCTGTATTGGTTCAATATATTTAGTCTACTGTACAATATTATTTCAAATGTTTTTGGGATATTTTAATGATGATTTTTCTTCCAGACCCACAGACAGCTGGGCCAGACTTTGCCACTGAAATAAAGTAGGAGGAGTTACGAGCACGTTTCAAGCAGAGGCATTTATTATGATTGGACAAAGTGCAGCAGCCACAGAATTAAAAAAATGAACAATAACTTGATAGAATTGACTTAATGCTTTCAAATAAAATCCACACGAACTGTCCTGCAGTAAAAACAAATGTCCAGCATTCAGGATCTTCTCAACAACAGAAACACAAACATGAATTATGCTACATCCAAGAGTCCAGCTCAAATAGAAAATGCACAGTAACATAAAATATTAGACAAAATTACCCAAAAATGTGATTTGATTGAAGTATGGCACGTGAATCTCTATGTTTTGAATGTTTTAAGGCTGCGGTATCGAACTTTTCTCCATGGATATTATGTGTAGTTTGTCCCAACAGATAAAGTCTTGTTTTGTTTTTGTGTTTTGTGAACAAATCAGACCACATTTCATTAGAAAAATATGTCATCTTTTTCTTGTTTGAGAGAGCCCTGTGAGTCACTATTTGACGCTTTGGGCTGAGAGTGATGGTGGTCCTCTCTTTTTCTCTTTTCTGCCTGAAAAAGCTGATAAAAAGATGTGACAGGCCAAAACTAGCAATAGAATCAAACTGTTTTGAGAGTGAGAAACTAGTGATATCGAATTAATTACACAGGTACCGCAGCTTTAAGAAAGTCAAAACACTCAAAACAAGATAAAATCATATTTTTTCAATGCCATTTAACTTATTGTTTCATCATTTTTGCAGTGTAGAAGTCAAGTAACACAGTGTTTATTGTCCAAGTGCAGCCTGACAGTAGCGACTGCTTTATCTTTCCACATCGTCCCGTCAGGAGGAGGTGCGGCCCACAATCATCGCTCCTCGTGACCTCAGTGAGTAAGTCCAGGTTCATGTCTCACTGAAGGAGCAGAGAGGAGAAAAGGAGGCGTCAGAGCTGAAGGTGAAGGCTCAAAGAAGGAGGAAGAGAGACAGAGGAGAATCTCAGCGGGAATGTGTTCAGCTCCGCAGGTGGCGAGCCTCCGAGACGGCGTCCGGGGCCGGCGAACGAAGACTGAAACAGCAGAGGAGGAGGAGAAGGAAGAGGAAGAAGAGATTGGGGAGGAGAAGGTGGCGCAGGTGAGGAAGAAGAGGAGGAGGAGAAGGAAGAAGAGGAAGAGAAGGAGGAGCGGTGAGGGGACAGGAGGGGACAGAAAAGGGAAGACATTAGAGCTTGTCTATTGTGTGTAATTAGAGCACATGTATATAGTCGTAATGTTAAGAAATGTACTGTACTGTCGATTGCACACAAAGGTGATACAAAATAATTCTAAAAAAAACCCGAGACTGAGCTTTTAGACAGAAAGAGGGCAGAGTTACTTGTTTGTGCCAAAAGTACCATTAGTAAGATAAGATGAGATAAGTTGAAACAACCCCAGTATGTGTTTTATCACAGCTTTAGATCAGCTTTATCACACAAAAAGTCAAAAAGATGGAGGACCCTCACTCAGCCAATCAGCTCTCAGCCCAAAGGGTCAAATAGTGACTCACAGGGCTCTAAGAAAGCAAAAGATTTTACAACTGAATTGGTTTGAACTATGTTATTATAGACTACAGCTTGAGAGATGGGACAAGAGAAAGAGATTCAAAGCACCACCACAAGAGGGCAGCATAACCACACCAATACCAGCTGCTCCTACATCTACACTGTGCTTAACTCTGGGGAGAAACGTGATAAAACTCTTCTCTGTGTGGACATTAAAAGTCCAGATATGTACTATCAGGATCATAATGCATTCATACTGTTTAAGATCCTTAATTTCAGCAAGATTAATTGATCAACTTTAAAACAACAGAACCAAAATGCACAATATAAGAAGTATTATTTTTCCACAAGCGGTGACCAGGAAGTAGGGGGAAGCTGGTGTGCGTCACTGCTTTAATGGGAAAACTCAGCATAAGTAGTAATTAAGTCTATGGCACTATCATTTAGAGCCATGTACTTTTGTAGTTCTTTTCCATAGACCACAGAGAGAGAGAGAGAGAGAGAGAGAGAGAGAGGATCAGGCAAAGAGAGAGGGGGGGGGGGGGGGGGGGGGGGCGCTCTGAATTCAAAACCAATGCATAAAGACAGAGATGGTAAGAAGTGTTGTGCAAACGCTGGCAAAGCACCCAAAGGCGTGACCACGGCATCTGTGGGAGCCAGGTTCAATCGCCAAGTGGAAGAATACACGCCCTCACGCCAAGGTGGAACAGTGTGGAAAAAAAGGAAAATAAAAATGGTCTTTCTACTTTGATTTGTATGATGCATGTGAACCGGGCTCCATTCTCACGGAGGCCTTTTTCTCCCCCCCAGCGATTGCATCACCTCCAGCCATGTAGAGATGTTGAACCGAAAAACGTTTTACAGACTGGATTTGACAATGGAACACGGCTAAGAATGTGCTTAAAATAACAAAACGCCAAGTGGAAGATTCCCATGAGGAGGGAGAACAAAAACTTTTACAAGCTTAACGGCTCTGGGAATCATGTTAAAGTCACATGTTCCGTTGGTAAATTTAAGACTGTAAATATTGCAATGAGCATTTTAATACACGCGCGCACACACACACACACACACACACACACACGCACACACACACATACAGCTGGGGTAAAACGATGTAATATAATCCATGCAACTGTAATTTCTGGCTCTAAAACAATTTGGCTCTTTCAATAGTTTTTACATGCACGTATATTTGGCCTCTTTAGATCAGCTTTTTTAGACAGATAAAGTGAAAAAAAGAGGACCACCCTCACTCAGCCAATCAGCTCTCATCTCAGAGGCTCTCAGTATACGGAATACAAAAAAAAAGTTTTCTACCAGACAAAAACAGCATGTGTTGTTCTGATTTGTTCACAACTTTTACTTTCTGTTGGACTAATGTGTTATTTATGACTTCTCTGCAGCTGGTGATGCAATACTGATATTTCCCCACTGTGGGACATACAAAGGATTTCTCAATCTTAATCTGGAACAAAAAACTGAGGTATAGCAGCTTTAAATAAGTGAGCTTGAGTAAGTTCTATATCATTTACACAGTATTGTATATACACTGCAAAAAGTGATGAAAAATATGTTAAATATGGCTTAAATTTGGCATAATGTATCTTTATTTGAGCACATTTTGACTTCCTTAAAACAAGATTTGCCAATGGAAAAAAGCAAAATGATCTCGTTTCAAAAAAATACAAATATAAGAATATAAAAAACAAATAGAAAAATAGAAAAAACAAATAGAAAAATAGAAAAAAGAAATGTCTCCTTTGGAATGAGAAAATAAAGCAACAGTTTTTGAATTAGACTTTCTTTTAAGAAAGTCATAATGTACTCAGATTAAGAGAGAACCGCCACTGGATTCAAGCAAATACTACCTTTATTAATACCTCACTTTTTGCAGTGTAGTGTCTCTCCCCCTTTACTTTAACCATATGGGTGAGTGACATCTTCTAACTTTTCCAATTTTTTTCAACCTGCAGACATATTCTTCACTGGCCGAATGCAGAGTTTGTGTCTCTGGTTCTTAAGACTAACAAACGTAACAAAAACAGTGGTTTCGAAGGCGGCTCCACACTCACTGCTTCTGGATGAGGCTCTGCTGCTGCTGTCTGTACGACTCGATGGTGTGTTGTGGTAAGAACTGCATCAGCTCCAGCGACTCCTTGATCTTCACCAAAATCTCGTAAATTTCACGCCCTTTGATCTGTGAAAGAGAGCCATGTTTAACCCCGCTGTCACACAACACTGTACACAAACCAGAGATTTCTTTTAGCTGATCTAACGCTCTTAAAGAACAAGTATCATGCATTATTTGAGCAGGATTTTAGAAGAATTAAAAGCAAACCTGGGGGTTACTCACAGAATAATAAAACTTGGATAATTAGAATATTGTTCAAAAGTTCATTTATCTCTGAAATTCAACTGTGTTCAATAATGTGCGCTCTGCCTTGCTAAGTAGTCATTGAGGTTCTTTCACAGTGTCATCCAGCCAACTTCAGCTCCACCAGTAAAGTCATGTTGTACCTCTTTGTAAAGCTTGTAAGTTTTTGATTGTCACATAATTCCATATATGGTGCTTATGTAGTTGTTTGTGTGAATCAAAATGGACTTTTTATACATTTTAGAACCCAGAACAGCTTGAATCCAGTCAAAACAGTTTTACCATCCATAGTAGTAGTCGGACCCTGGACTAGTCTGAGGAACTAAAGTGGCCCTCTAGCTAAAAAGTTTGGTCACCTCTGATATAAAATCCTTACAAGCAGCGTGACATTGTTTTAGTTATAATTATGATGCCTATGGCCAGTTTCAATATATTCTAATATTCTGAGATTGGGGTTTCTAAGATGTGAGCCATAATTATCAATATAATAACAAAGAAAGGCTTGATAAATCTCCCTTTGCAAGTAATGTGTCATGTGTCAGTTTCACTTTGTAAGTTGAATAACAGAAGTGAAAGGACTTTTGAGTTTCACCTGTACAAAGAAAAGTTGAGCTAGCTTAATCTTTGTCACATTTTTAGATCATGCTATTCAGACAGAGAAGTGAAGACCACCCTCACTCATCCCAAAGCATCAAATAGTGACTCACAGGGCTCTTTCTTACAATCACGCACAAGAGAACATGTTTGCTAATGGCATGTTGGGATGGAATTCGTTCACAATATTTTACTTTCGCTTTCTGTCCTCCGTTTCTGAGTGCGTGATGTCATCTGAAGACATTTGACAGAAGAAATTGGAGTCTGCGATTTTGTTTTTTAACCCTTTAAGTGCCAGCGTTTTTCAGATATTAAAAGTGAAACAAAGAAAGTGTGGAGCCCCGAAACTTCATAAGAGAGTGAGAGGACTATTACAATCCACAACAGAAATATATATAATACAAATGTGTAAGAAAAGTGTAGAGAAGTGTTTGTGTGAAGCCAGGTTGATGTATAAAGTGTCCTGGATTCAAGAGTACTACTTTGGCGCCTAAAAAGGTAAAGAGGCAGAAAACAGCATTGTCCGTGATGTCACAGTCAAAAAGTATAACAAGTTTGAGATAGAAGCTTTCAGACAGAAGGGGAGACATGTTTGTTCCTGTATGAATGTGAATGGAGCTAAAAACAACTCCAGGTCGGTTTGTGATGAGGGAATAAGGTTGGATGTTGGATAAAAGCAAAAAAACATAGGGCAATTTGTGTTGAATGTGTGAGAGCAGAAGTGCAGACCACTTACAGGCAAACAGAAGACCTCCTCGTCTGTGGACCTTCTCTTCTTTATAGTGGGCATTTGGATTCCGTGGGAGACTTGACGGAAAGCTACAGATAAAGCACAGGAACGTGAGTTTTGCTGTCGATGCATTTACCTGTGGGGTTTACATATACACAGTATGAGACCTAAAAAAGCCAGAGCAGACAGAGCAGACAGAGCAGGGAGGAGAGAGTGGCATAGTCCTGTGTTAGGGACGTCAAGGTTTGTCATTATTCAGGTCACAAGATAAAACTTTAGAAGCAAAATCAATCATTTTTTACTTCTTGAAATATGTTCAAATGGCTCACCTGATGAAGTCAATGTTTGTTTTGTGAAATTGCTATCTCTTTTGATATGATCTTTTTTAACACTTGTGCTAGCGTCGGGTCAAAATTACCTGCCAAAGTGGAAGAAAAATACCTAAATTAGGGTCTAAAATGGTCCAAAATACTCAAGGTAGGAAATATCATCAAAATTCAGCTCAAAATTGTTCTTTTTAGGGAATTTTTTAATCACTGTGGCTGATAAATAATACAAAGGAAAAATGTCTCAGAGCATCCCCTGTCTTTAAAGCTGAGGCACCTAACTTTCAAGTTGCAAAAAACATAATATGCAAACAAATCCATTTAACAAGTTCAGATCAGCTTATTCAAAAAAATGGAAAGAGACCCAAAGGCCCAAAGCATCAAATAGTAACTCAAAGGGCTCGTTTTCCTTTTTTCTCTTACAGTTGGGACAAACAACATGTATCATCTTTGAAACAAAAAAGTCTTATGTGTCCCAGCTTTAAATCTATGTTTTTTTTCTATTATTAATGACACAAAAAATCCCTAAACTGCAGTGTTCTTTCTTGCGGTAATTTGAAACCTCGACGTCCCTGTTTTTGAATGTATTTGTGTGTATTTCATGCTGATGTTGTTGTGAATGTGCTATACATATAAAGCTGACATTGACACCGCCACCAGCCCCAGCTACTTACGGCGCTTCGTACCGTCACTGCTCTTTGTGGCGTCCGTTACGTTCTGTTTGCGGATGCTGTCCTCGTCCGCCTTCCGATCTCTGCCGGGACAGGCGCAGATCCGGGCTTCAAAACACCGTCTGCCCAGGACCTGACCACTGCACACGCACACACACGCACACACACACACACACACACAGCGAGACACACACACACAGACACAGAGACACAGAGGTTTAGAGTCGTGTTACAGTGATATGACAAGAGAACCTAAACTTAGAGATTTAATTTAATTTTAGTATAGAGTTGATGGCAGAGGAGGAGGAGAAGGAGGAGGAGAAGGAGTGGGGACGTACTCTCGTGTTTCCAGGGTGACGATGATGAGGATGGGCCGTCGGTTCATTCCCCCCACGCAGCTGGAGTTGCACATGAAGTTGTAGAGGATGGTGGTGAATTCAGTTCCCACCTGAGAGAACGCAACAAGAGTGAGATGCAGATTCAGCACAGTCCTGAATAAACATAGTCCTCACTTTCTAATACATACTTACACTGACATTGAGTGATCACGGCAAAATGTGATTAAAGGTAAGGTAATAATTGCTTAAATCAAGTTTTTTTGTCTTTACATTATGACTGGTATGCCAATGGGAGAAAACCATTCGTGGCAGCACGGTGGAGCAGTGGTCTGACTTTTTTTCATAACTTTTTGCAATGATGATATTATTTTCTAAGTCTGTCTTAACCCTGTAGAACCCAGACATCAAAATATTTCTGCTATTTTTGGAAAGCCGCATTCAATGACCAGATTTGGCAATGTAGCATATTAGCTTCTTTGGGTTCTTGGGTACATACTAAGTTAATGCATTAAACCAAAATGTCATACTTGGTTTGCTGTAACCTTGAATTTTATGTTGTGTATTTGCAAATTTTACACCAAAAGAAATATTCTACTTCAAGTGACAATGTCAAACCACAACATGCTGTTTCCATCTTATTAGAAAATCTGTTATCTTTTGTATACTTGGGAGAAAGGCCTTTTAGTAACAAATTATGTGTCCAAGCATCATAGATAGATAGATAGTTTATTGATCCCCTGTAGGAGAAATCCAGGTGTCCATCCGCAGAAACACATTCATCCATACAGACACATAACAAACTTGCTAACAAACAATAGTTCATCAGAGGTAAAGCTCTGATCTACCTTAACAGAAATGGAGGTGAATACTGTCTCTGACCTGTGGGGGTTCGTAGGGCACCAGGACGCTCTGTCGGCCGGTGATGGAGTCCTCCACGTACTGAGCGTGGCTGTTCCCTTCCACACGGATCAGGTGACTGGGAGGCGCGATCTGACCTGAGACACACGAGGAAAAAACATAGGAGATACATCAATACATTGTGATGGTCTTTTTGAAAATACATTTCCATACACACATATTTACAGTAGTATTACAGGAGATATGCAGGAGAGAGAGAGAGAGGGAGAGCACTGGGAAGAATAGGAGGTGGAGAATGGGAGAAAATGCACGAAGACAAATTATTTTTGTCTGGACAGTTCTGTTTTCTATCGATCAAACTGCATTGTTGCCCATTTAGGTTATCCAAAACATGCTAATGTTCTGCACTTATCTGTATATATATATTCATACTGTTTTTCATTCCGATGCTTTTTTTCCTGAGGACCCTTATGGACCAATGGCTCTATATGTTTTTATCATTGCATTTCTTGTGTTTGAACTGTTTGATTCTCTGATCTGTGTTGGCGAATTCAATGATTTTGTAACGTCTTTTGAGATAACTACAGATGTGATTTAGGGGCTATACTGAAAGAGTGTAAAGACGCTAGTACTGTTTCAATACCTGACACTTTTCTGCAGTAGACTTGTGTATTTTGAGAAGGTTCATCTTATCTTCTTAGTTGAATAAAGTGGCATAGATAGACTTCTGCTTTTGGTTATTAAGCAGTACTAGCATCTTTACAATCTTTGACTCATTCGAAGGCTGTTCTAAGCCTTAAGCAGTAAAACACCAGCAAGCATGGACGCTGGAAATGATTTCTTCAAGACTTTGACAGCAAGAAGTGGGTAAGAATAGGGACTTTGACTTGTAATGAATTGTACCCCAGGAAGTAACTATTTTGCAGAACAACGATCATAATGCACCTGTCGTATCAATAAGCATCTATATAACCTGCTGTAGCCAGAGGTTTGGACGTCAGGTTTTCAAACGATACAAAGTAGACTGACCATCGTTGAATTCGCGGCTGAGTTCGTGGTTGGGGCAGCGTTTCACGACCTCTGTCACATGTTCGGCCTTCTTGTAGACCGGCATGGCTCTGATGACGGCGCCCTGTGGAGGCTGGGTGAGCACTTTGATCTGAATGGGACACGTCTTGGCGATCTGGCAGTACAACTTCTTCAAATCGGTCGAATACTGAAAGACAAGGCACAAATACATTTCAATTTGGAGAGACGAGAAACGAAAATGCTTTTGAGTATTTTATTGAGAGGTGGTTTGGCGCCCTAGGCCCCGGTGCGGCCTTCAGATCGGAGAGGCTCCTGCGATGGAGCGCGTACAATCCCCCGGGACCTAGGCACTGGTGGCGGCATTTTGGCAGCGGGAAGCAGATTGGAGGCAGATTGGAGGCAGGGTGAAGAGGAGGAGGAGGGGAGGCGGTGGTTGCGAGGCTTTGAGAGGCAGTGAAGTGGGAGTTTCTCCGCTTTTAAGCGGCTGCCTGTCCGGCACGGATGATTGGAAGGGGGCGTTTTGCTGTGCGATAGGCTGGGGATGCGAGCCGGCCTGGAGGGGGTAGCTTTTGGCTGACGTCTACCAAATTGAATTTCCGCGAGCTGCATGACTTTAAAATGAGGAGCGTTTCTTGAGACTGAAGATATACTTTGTCACGTTATATTACTATACGTTTCTACGAGCTTTCCCCCAAGTAATCCACTTTTAACCATCACAAAAGAGAACATATCTAGTAGTAGCAAGAAATTAATTATAATGGAGTTGATCTGAGAGCAACAGCCTTAACATTTCTTGATTCGAATTGAAATGGAGATGTAGCACCCAATCTTTAGATGGTCAACCACTGAACTATTAAGCAATGAATGGAAAACAGTGAAATTATTAGATTTGTAGATATTTGTTTGAAAGTTTGTACTACTTTAATAATAGTTTTGGACACTCAAAGACTTCATTATTTATGTTCTGTTATTTCTTCACTCTATACACAGAGTGATAAACTACTACTGGAGCCACAGCTGCCATGGGGCACACTGACAGAAGCAAGGCAACTAGTATGTGCCATACAGCCCCACACACACACACACACACGCACCAATGTGGGTGAAGTGTCTTGCCTAAGAACACAATGACAGTTTTTCACTTTACCGCCGCAGCCGCCCCACTGTGGCACCTTGTGTTCCTTTAATATATAATCACATTTTGCTATTTTTAAATAAAATATTTCTGATTTTTGCCAATGATTTATCAGTCCTTAGCCTTTAGTTGAACAGTACAGGTGCAAGGTGAAGAGTATGGAGACATTCACCCAATTTCCACAGCCAGGGATCCATCTCAACGATTCCAATTTAATTTAGCAACCAGACTCACAAAGGAAGGCCCTTTTACCTTCTTAAATTTGTCTAAATTGTATGGTTTACCTCTGTTTCATTGTCATTACGTCACTTCCCAGATTTCACCCCAATCTACTGGAGGAATCAACAGAAGACTTGGCTTATGTCAGTTCCTCAATAAAGTAAAAAAAAAAACAAGTCACATGACAATCTGTGGCTTATTCTACGTTAAATCTAATATTCTTTCCAAATGACATTGTGGTACATGCGGCTAGTACACAGACCACATTGCTATAGTACCGTGGTATTCCAGGACTCCCTTGAAAAAGAGGTTCTTAATCTCAATGGGACTTTCCTGGTAAAAGAAAAGATTAAATAAAATTGAATATTAACACAACCTCCCCATCTCTTCCCCCCCAAAAAATAGAACAAGTATTTGTATATTTCCCAAAAACTCACAGAGAACACCTGTTTGCATGGGGCACTTCTGTTTACGCCTGGAGCCAAAGCTAAAAGACAGCACTGTGATTATGACCTACTTAAACAAACACACTCCACGCTCTCAGGAGGCCAGCATCTCAAAGTCGTCTCTCTCTCTCTCCGGTGGAGCCTGCCGGGCGTCCGAGGACCGCTGTAAAACCTCCAGCTGCAATTTGCACTTTTACACTGGGCCGAGCTTTTATCTACGGCCTTCATCACAGCCAGAGAGCGGCTTCTGAGGATTTCTGATCAAATAGTTTTAATCTATTTAGGAGGCATTTGTGGAGCACTTTTGAGTTGCCCTGTGTAGGAGTAGAGCCATACAAATTCACTTTTCTTGTGCTCCTCATTCCAACTGTTCTGTAACTTGTGATGCAACACTGAAATTTCCCCACTGTGGGACAAATAAAGGATCCCATAATCTTAATGTGAATGAACTAGCCTGACTATAATTAGCTTTTAACGCTGCATGAGTTGTTGTTATTATATTATGTCGTTTCATATCCGTTTTATGGTTTGACTTTTGATTAGTTATAACGGCCAAAAACCTGTATCAAAGCCACGGCAGTAGAATATGTTGTAGCTGTTTAGTGGTTTCAGTAAGAGAAGCGAAGTGAAGAGAGGATGAGAAGTACATGAAGCAGCAGCAGCCGGCAGTAGTAGCAGTATGAAGCAGCAGCGGCAGCAGTAGCAGCGTTGCTGGTAGCAGTTTATGATGCAGCAGAGAGCAGCATCAGCGGGAGCAAGAAGCACCACAAAGCGATTATACAAACCGAACAGACGATGTCGCGCCAGTGTGCGCCGCTTGTCTCCATGAGCCCAGGTTACTTACGTGTCTGGAAAGAGCCGTGCCACAGAGACGGGTGCAGCCTGGGGAGCTGCGGAACGGCAGCGGCACTGTAGTAGTAGGAGCAGCAGGAGCAGCAGCCGGGACAGACGGCAGCAGGAGCGGCAGCAGGAACAGGCAGCAGCAGGAAGCGGGCAGCAGGAACACGGCGGCGGCGGGATCGGCATCAGTAGGAAACCCGGCAGCGGGGACCGCAGCAGCGGCGGGCAGAGAACCATTGCCCACGTGTTGTTTAACAGCCTGAGGAATAAATCAACCCGAATCCGAAACATTCCCATGCGAATAACAGATCGTCCCCTCGAGCCATCTTCGCTTTGGTTATGGCAGATACGCATGAACGATCACTGCTCCATGCGTTCATAGCTCCAACACCACTTCACAACCTTGCAGATTCACGTTCGGCCCTTTTTCTTCCTGCTGCACTTTCAAAATGCAACACTGCAGTTAGTTACCTAATTTAATACAGCGACCTAGCTTTTTAATGGCATGGTTTTACTGCAAGTGGCAGAACATGATCTGAATTAATGCACATAGTCCTCGTATATCCTCAGACGATAGAGATTGATGCCATTTATATGCATTGCCCCGCGGTTAGCTCAGGACACGTGTGAAGCGGAGCCTGCAGACCAAGCACGGGGGCGAAAAAATGGCGGCCTGCAGTCAAGTGCGCGGGGCAAAAAACCAATCGCCTGCAGCCCAAAACTCCGGGATTATCTGTCCGCGTTCGCACACTCATGTACTCACATGCCAGGAGCTCGGGAAAAGCAACGGGACAACGCGGCACCGCCAATCGAGCAGGGAACACGCACGGCACCGCCAGCCCTTCTCGTGCGGCGAGCCAGACACGAGGACGAGCCGCACCAGAATCCCGCGGAGGGCCCCGCGGAGGCAGCCCGCAGAAAGAGCCCGCAGAGGGAGCGCGAGCGTGGGGATATGCGAACCACAGCAGTGCAGGGACGCGGAAGAGGAGCCGACCAGGCAGGGGACACGGAAGAGGAGCAGACAGTGCGGGACACGGAAGAGAGCAAGGGCCAGTGCAGGGACGCGAAGGAGGAGCAGACCAAAAGCAGCCAGACGGAGGACGCCAGGGTCGACGCCGAGTAGCGTGAGTAGACGAAACGATTCCTCCAGGACGATTCTCTGCAGGCTTCAGAGGGCTTGCGAGGCTTCGAGAAGTTTCATGTCGTTAATTCCCACATGCACGACTACCTTGGAAACGGTATCAGGCAGGGACTGAAGCAGAGGAGGGAGACGTATGAGCATATTCAACTCCTCCCTCTGGTGGTAGCATAGGGATAGTGCAGGCCGATAGCATTATTTACCTTTCACACTTCTTTCACCGTTTATATTTTCTGCTTATGGTATTATTTCCCACTCTAAAATCAGAAATGACATAGTAATTAAGTCTCATTTGCATTGTAAATGGCTAAAACAATGTGTAATATTTCTTCTTTAAATGCATGTCTCTCTCTCTCTCTCTTTGATATTAAATAATACAAATATGTATGCAGCAATAATTACTCATTCTGCCACAACTGTCCACTTTCAAACCCTAAACCAATCCTTCTGTGAGATACAGTATGTAACATTAAAATTGATTCTGTTGTCTCTCTGCTTCTATAAACCACTAATGAAACCAAACCATGCATAGACACATTTCCTGAGTAACCGGGGTCCATTCTCAGTCCTCATCACGACACATGAAGGAGATAATGTATTCCACCGGCCTTTCAGCGGCGGACCGATGCTTTTGTAAAGACACCAAACGGATGCGAATAACCTTGCACCTCATTTCCCACAGTGCTCCTCTGCATCCCAAATACCTCCCCTCAACATTACAGAAAGTTATAGAGGACTGCTATTTGCCATTTTCAGTAAAACCACATTTGAATACATGTGCAAAAGTGGAATTTAATCACTAAAAATAGACAATACTGAATAAATGTCTGGCATTTATTCAGTATTTTCTAATTTTAGTGATTAAATTCTATCTCCCCAAAACAGTTTCCTTCATCTTCCTCTTTGATTCTTGTGAGGCAGCAAAACCCCTCAGTTCAAATCGCGACATGGCACCAATTCGTAGCGTGAGAAGCCCGCCACCAGGAGGTGATCGATCACTGTAAACCCTGACAAGTAAAGTTTACTTGAAAAAAACTTGGAAATAAATTGCACATTAACTTCACTTGAATTCCTCGAGTACTTCCTTAACTTGATGTTGCCAAGTGAACTCTATTGAATGCAATAAAGTTAGACTGAGATTTCACCTTGTTCATATATCTGCTCCAACTGGGATTCTTTCCACTGAGGGGCAATGGTGCAACCCACTCAGCCAACATACCACCCCATTCACTACACACTTGCCATATTCAACACTCTACGTGTTCAAAATATCAAAAGTGAAGCTTAATTGAACAGAGACAGCTCAATTCAAAGAAGGCCCTGAGTGGTATAGCCAAGCTTTAATTAAACTAACAACAAACAAGTAATATTTACTTACTGGGAAAAATCAATTTAAAATAACTTTGATCTCTGAAGTAAGATTGAAGTTAGGGTTTAGGAGGAGCAATGTAGGCGAAGCATTTTGCCTACGGTTTGGCACTTTACAGCCACAGCCACCCCACTGTGGCACCTGACCCCAAAGGTCTCCCATCACGCTACTAACCAGGCCCTGCCCTGTTTAGCTTCAGAGGTCTGAGAGAATCTTGCTTTTAAACACAGGTACAGTATGGCTTTTGATGTTTAATTAATTCATTCAGTAATTTGCGTGATTTTTGTTTACATTTCAACAGTTTGCTAAAGTCAGAGATTTTATGTTTTAATTCTTGCTTCTTCCTATGCTTTAGTTGGAGATTTTAGATTTGCTTCCTTATTATGCTAATGTTATAGATTGTATTGTATGTTAGCATAATTCCTACTGTTCTGTAACTGGTGATGCAACACTGAACTTTCCACTGCGGGACAAAAAAACAATCTCTTAATCTTATTCTTAATTAATGGATGGAGCATGAATTGTTACAGACTTTGCTAACGGCGACTCAATCACTCATCCAAAACAAAACATTCCTTCACGTTGTAGATGTTGTTGTGCCTCGGTGTGTGTCCCCCCGTCCCTTCTGCAACAATGGCCTCTGCGCTTGACGTCCGCCGAGTCCCACACGAGCTGTCGGCCCAATTACAGCCATTACAGAACATCAGACGGTGAGATCCATCAGCAGAGTCCAAACGCTGGTACAACACGTGCTGCAGCGGCCGCCCAGCCAGCCGCATCATCTGCTCCTTTACACTCGAGCTGTTTCACACAAAAGACAAAAGACCCTCTCCCTCTGGACATTCCTGACAAAAAAACAGGGGGTTGAACAGTTATGAGTCCGATTAGTCCCAATGGTCTGCGCTGTCTGCTGCAGAGAAATGGGAAAATAATTGTGTTTGTTCAAATTCAAATTAAGAACCATGAATGTTTATTGAATATTTGATATTTAAGTTCTAGGCTGTGGGAAGGTATTTAGGCTGGGTTGCACATGTATCTGGACAAAATATCTTCTTCATACATACTATATCATTGTCTTTATTTGCATTATATCAAGGCCTGACAACTCATGACAGATGGTAGTGATAATTCAAAACAAAAAATGAATAGAAACAATCACACAAGGCATTAAAGATGCAGTCAATAATTGACGATTTTTTTTAAAATACTGTGGGGAAACGTCACTAAATCCCAAAAGTAGTCAAGTTATAATGTGTTTTCAAATAGGAATGGACATGACCAGATGCCTACAACCTCGAGAAAATAAAAATAAATCACTGCCATCTCGGATTGCCGGGGATTGGTTTTAACTTGGTGCTACACGGATGCTACTGCTAAGCTAACCTGAATCCATTACAGCACCTATAAAATGATAAATAATCACAGTGCAATAAACAAAGTGAAGAAACAATCCTTCAGTTGTATGCACAGCTAAACAGAACTGTTTTGAATTTGAACATTGTCAGAGTAGAAGCCTGTTTCACATTTTCAGGGAGACTGTTCCAGATTATAGCTGCAGAAATCTGAAATGCTGCCTCCCCATTTTTAGTCCTGACTCTGGGCACCAACAGGAGGCCAGTCCCTGTGCTCCTCAGAGTCCCAGTACATGTAGGTTCATACGTATGAAACTTGTCACAGGCCGTGGAGAGACTTGTAAACAAGCTGAGCTGCTTTAAAGTCTATTCTCTTTAAAGAAGAGCCCTGTGAGTCACTATTTCATCCTTTGGGCTTATAGCTGATTGCGGTTCTCTCTTTCTCACTTTCCTGTTTGAAAAAGCTGATCTAAAGACGTGACAGAGGTCAAACACACATGCCTGTGAAAATTAGTGATAAGTAAACTGTTTTGTGAGCGAAGAACTATTAGTTAATCTGGAATGGACAACAGCAGATGTGGGAATACAGCAGATTATATCCATCTATCGTCCCATAGTCGGACTCACAAAATTCTGAACTCTTTTACATGTTCGTAGTGGTAGGGAAAACTGGAGCACCTGGAGGAAACCTGCACAGACACAGGGAGAACATTTACACAGAACTCCACACAGAAGGCCTTGATTTGAGGTGGAATCAAACTCAAGAGCTTCTTTCTGCGAAGCCGAAACACAAACCTCGCCTCCCTTTGAATGTATCTTTTGCCACTGTTGTATGTCTGTGTAAAGCACTTTGGGTGGCACTGCATAGATGCTGCTGTGGCACTGCTGAGGGCGACAGTTGCTCAGTTGGTAGAGCATTGGCCTTAAGGCCAGAAGGTTGTGGGTTCAATTCCCACCTCTGCACCTTCTCCACTGACTCCCACTGATGACTGCTGTCGTTGTGTCCTTGGGCAAGACACTTAACCCCACTTTGCCCAAAGCCCCCGCTGAAAGATCAAGGCTATGCTCACACTCAGAGAGCAGCCGTCCTCCTGTGGACTCACCACCTGCAGAGGGTCAGTGAGGGGCTGGTGCTATGAGACTTGGGTAGCATCTCTGATTGCCACCCCCCTGACCCAGAAATGGATTAACGGGTAGAAAATGGATGGATGGATTCACAGATTGTACTTTGTGAACTTGATTAAATGATTGATATAAAGAGCTTATTAGCCCTTATTCTACAGGGTCTTATTCAACATCTAATTAACCACTAATAGACACTTTCTCATGTGGGCTAGGTTTAGGTTTAGGACTTCAGGTACACCAGGGGTCAGGTACACCAGGGGTCTACAACCTTCAATTAGAGAGCTACTTTTATACAACAGAAAAGGCAGAGAGCTTCTCCTTTCTACATTTGTAATAATACTCTATGTAATTATTACAACAAAACATGGCTAACACATTCGAAATAAACCGTAATACTCTATAACCCTATATTCATACATATACTATATGTAATAACTAATGATATATTCATTCAAGATCATGTGTATTCTAAATCCTACTGGTACTTCCCGAGCCACAGGTTGGAGACCCCTGGGGTACACTAATTAGCGAGAGATAATCTAAAGTGTCACCTAATTTTGTTTTTAGAGACAAGCATTGATTACTGTAAATGAATCACGTTTAAACACTCATCATCGCTCTTCTTCCACCGGTTCCTTTGATGCTGGATGCTTGTTCCTTCTCAGAATCTGGTTGTTTTGGCCCCTTGCCTGTTTTGATTGAAGACAGCGGTCCACGTGAGGGTCCTCTTCCTGAGGCTGTTTATTTTAGGGAGCCTCAAGGACGAAAGCAGCTGCCTCTCCTCATGTCTGACAGAGAGGGGCGCTCCACTCGCCACACGGGACGGCCCGGATTCCACACATTATTACTCAACAGACAACGTAAGGATGCAATATACTCTGGAACGTCCTTCTTTTGGCCATGTGTGTTTGTGAGCCGAGGAGAAACCAGGGAGCGATGAGAAGATGAGAAGAATGTTGTATGTGTTTGTGAGCCTGTAGTAACTGGGAACGATGAGAAGACTACTTTAGATTAGATTTGATTAGCATCCAACTAGAAGTGCAATAGTGCAAGTATCAGATAATATTTACAACACTGATAAAGTATAGTATAAGTATATATGTGAGACACCATCCAGCCGAGGCTTCTCGTGAACAAGATGGAGACAGCTGGAGTGGACTACACCCTGTCCGAGTGGATCCTGGACTACCTCACAGACAGACCCCAGTTTGTGAGAACCAGGGACTGCGTGTCGGAGGTGCTGACCTGCAGTGTGGGGGCCCCCCAGGGAACTGTCCTCGTGCTGTTCCTCTTCACCCTCTACACTGCGGACTTCAGACACAACACGGACGGTTGTGTCCTACTGAAGTTCTCAGACGACTCTGCCATCATCGGACTCAGCTCTGAGGACGATGACGCGGAGTACAGAGGAGTTATACAGGACTTTGTGGACTGGTGTCAGCGGAACCACCTCCTCATCAACGCGGGGAAGACCAAGGAGATGGTGGTGGATTTCCGCAGACGTCACTCTGCCGCTCCAGCCCCAGTGAACATCCAGGGAAAGGACATTGAGAGAGTGGACTCTTACAAGTACCTGGGTGTTCATCTGAACCACAAACTGGACTGGACTCATAACACAGACGCCCTCTTCAAGAAGGGCCAGAGCCGGCTCTACCTGCTGAGGAGGCTCAGGTCTTTTGGAGTGCAGGGGCCACTCCTGAAGACCTTCTATGACTCTGTGATGACATCAGCCATCTTGTACGGTGTGGTCTGCTGGAGCAGCAGCATCACAGAGAGGGACGGGAAGAAGCTGGACAAGGTCATCAGGAAGTCCAGCTCAGTCCTGGGCTGTTCCCTGGACACAGTGCAGCAGGTGGGGGACAGGAGGGTCCTGAGCAAACTAACATCTATGCTGGACCATGACTGTCACCCCCTGCAGGACACTCTCTCTGCTCTGGAGAGCAGCTTCAGTGACAGACTAATTCACCCTTGCGGTGTGAAGGAGAGGTTCCATAGGTCTTTCCTTCCTGCTGCTGTCAGACTGTACAACAAGAATGTGTAACAGGAACTGCTAATCAGTCACTGATAATTCACTAGTAACTTTTGTAGGAGAAATTAACTGAGAACTCCGCCTCTTACTGAGAGCTCTGCCCCGTAAAGAACTTGGACAGTCAACGTTCGTCATCGGCCATAATCAAAATTATGTTGTGTCAACCTCTCGCTTTGTTTGCGGAGCTGGACACAAAAAGGGGGGTTGTAGGAGAAATTAAAATGACCTCTTTCCTCAATCAAAGACATTTTGTTGTATATAGTAAGTAAGTTTTTATTTTATATACCGCCTTTTCACTGCAGATCTGAGTCTCAAAGCGGTTTACAATTGTTAATTTTGGGCATTTGTCTCTCACTCCACACAGAGATGGGAGCGGGGTCGCCAGTACAGGAGGCGCATGCCAGAACTATTGGACATATTTTTAGTGGTAGGGGAAACCGGAGTACCCGGAGGAAACCTACGCAGACACGGGGAGAACATGCAAACTCCCCTCAGAAAGGCCCTGGTCTGGCCGGGATTTGAACCCAGGACCTTCTTGCTGAGAGGCGAGAGTGCTATCCACTCAGCCACCGTGCCGCCATTTGAGACATATTATAACTTCTGTCTCCACTGTGTGTAAATCCTTGTGGTTCAGGTTATATTGTGGGTAAGAATGTCTTAAGATAAGTGCCATGGCAACACCCTTCCCCCAACGACTCTACAAGATGTGAAGACTTACAAGGACCCACAGGGAAGACAAACCAGTCTGCTTTGGAACCACGGAGTGACCAGACCTCCCTGGGCTCTGCTCAGGAAACCAAGGGGCTTTGGCCCTCTTAGATGGCCTCAAACCTCAGCTCCACGTTGAGTTGCTGAGTTTTGGCACCTAGACCAGACCTCAGCCTATACCAATCCATTCATAGACAAAGGCCTTGCTAAGCTCACCTTAGCCTAGCATTTGAACAATGTATCTTGAAATCAACGTTTCCTTCATGTTATTCTTGACAATTTGCATATTTCATATCTAGTCTGTATTGTGTATACTTCATTAAATCTACAAAACCATCTTTGTCTGAAAGTGATATTTGTACTTTTAACTCCAGAAACTGGGTCACTGATTTGTAAAAGAATTCACTACCTTCAGATTCTATTGAAGAGAATTGGACTAACTAGCTAATTAAATAATGAAAGGACTCATGATATTACTGAATCAATAAATGAGCCAATTAATTGATATTGTGACGTCATATGCACGTTATCAGTTGGGAGTTATTCCCTGGTGCCCCTAAATAAAGCT